GGCGACAATTTGTTCTCTATATGCGCCTTCAAATGGCTCTCGAATTGATCAACCCACACAATCAATTAAAGAATTACATAGAAATATATACGTTTATATTTTTCGCCGTTTCATGCTTCCTTACGGAGGACATTCCCCCTCCGGGCTCCGTTATTTGCAGATGTTTTCTGCCAGCCGTCGTAGGGAGGACGAGGGAAATAATATTGTGGAGTTTGAAACAGTCATGTGTTCACGTGATATGTGGCTGAAGGGATGTGGCTGAAAGAATCCCCTGGTGGGATGAAGTCCCTCTCCTTCCGAAGATCGGATGGGCAGGAGCTTGACCAGCGTCGGAACTTACTCCTATGCTTACTAAGTTGGGCGAAAACCGTGATCAAACCACTGCAGGCCTATGGTGTTTATAGGTACTGCTCCTCGTCGCGGTACTATCATTGCATCAGTAATGCAATCGCAACAGTAGTGCAATGACTGAACTTACAGCTGCTCCTCCCCCTCTAAAAATCCCAATAAATCATGTGTAATACAAAATACAACTATTATTACTATTGTGTGATTTTCGTATGAATGAAAAATACGAGAGCGACTTGAATGTCTCGCAAGTGTGTTTTGAGCACTACATCTCAACCAAGATTGGCCTTGGGTGGGTGATCACCATGTCCGATTGACATAATAACTGAGCCTATGAAATTCACATATGTACTTTCAAACATTCTGCATTAACTGGCGAGATGTTCTGGTAAAATTTGCGCTATAGGGAGCCCAGATACTGAAGAAGTTGCATTACTGGTGCAATGATAGTAAGTGATGAAACAGAATGGAACTGGTGTGATCAAGCTGTCCGCAGTCCAGCTGATATCTACTGGCAAGCTATGCACAAATAGTCAGTTTCTTTTGTGAAAAATAACCCTGGATCAGCTGCTGTCACTGTCAGGCTTTCCGGTGCGTTTCACTATACGTCGGCTTGATACTCCGTGTTGAAGTCTACCAGCTGCGAGACCTAGACCCCAGTGACTATAACTTTGCACAAGATAATTACAGACGAACTCACAGAAAACAGCAGCTTGATGCGACAAGGATATCGCAGTTGTCCGTCCTGTGCGTGCCCCGAAACCATAGGCATCAATGGGAGCAACATATCCAATATGATGCTTATGCGGCGGCAGCAAGCCCAGGCACGATGCGATGTCCAGGATGCTCCGCCTAGAAGGGCGCAGTTTCTGCCAAGTATGACGACGAGGGCGATGGAGCTACGCTCGGTGTCGGGTGATGGTATGACAGTAGGTGTGCGCTTGAGGCTGTGTTTGATGGATGGCCGGACGTTGAGGTGATGGTTTCATACTGAATGATGCAAGTTGCGATCCGATGAAGATGCTCGGGATCAGGGGCTCGTACTGCCACAATTCTACGCAGCGGTGGACATATAAGATGATACGGGGTCGAATCCCGTTTCCTGTGTGAACGTTGAACGTACCACCATTTCCTTCGTCCGGCTGCTTCGTTTTCGTCGCTTCGCTTCTTCACGACTTCTTTCGTCAATCGTCGTTCGGTGATCATGATTGTTAACGTCTTCATTTCTGTTGTTTTCTTGTTGCTCGCTTCTGTAAATGATGCGGCTGCGGTGAAATTCAGACGCGCGCACGACTTTGCACACGGTAAAACATCACAACCTAGTGGACAGAATTGAAGACACTAAGCATGTGTATGTGCAGATGACCATAAGATCGAGCGGAGCGCGAACACTCCTGGACAAGTAATGGGTTTCCGTCGTTATGGTCTCGCTGCGCCTGTTCCGATTAAGCGGCAGGATCCAGGCTGTAAGCAAGTGTTTTTGAAGCCCGTCGATGGGAGCTCATCTGTCTTTGTAGCTGGTAGCAGCCTCAGTAGCATTCTTGCTGAGTTTGGTGGTCAATCAGGGGTAGACAATATTGTTAACGAGATTATTGCTGCCTTGCCTCCTAATCGTACGTTGCATTGCATAGTGCACACATTTGAGTTCTCAATTTTACCCTTTTACAGTTGCTACTCCTGCTTCTGCTCTCCTTGCTGAGTACACGCAGGGGGCGGCGCCTTCTGTTCCCACCTCGATGCCGACAATGGGGGGCATGAATGCGACTGGCGGACCTGCAGGTGCCAATGGCACTGGCTCGATGGGCGCATTCCCTGGAAATGCTACTGATGGGTCGTTCAGTGGAACCGCCACCTCGGGCTTTGGATCCACTGGCACTAATTCTTCTGCTAGCCCATTTAATGGCGCGGCCTCGGGGAATGCGACAGTTATGCCTGCAAGTGGTGCTCCTCTCGGCTCCGACAACTCGACAGGTTCGTCTCTGGGTGGCTCCATGCAAGGTGGTAACTTTGGGAATCAGACGGCAGGGTCTACCCTCGGTGGATCGATGACTGGCGGTGGCCTGATTGGAAATGGCTCATCACCCGACAATACCAGTGGTAGTGGATGGCCTTCCGCTGCTTCACCGTTTGACAACTCGACCAGTAGCGGATCTCCCTTCGGTGGTTCGCCTTTTATGAACGGCACGATGAACGGCTCCATGAGCGGTGGGCCATCTCTCGGTGGCATGATGAACGGTAGTTCTATGACTGGTGGCATGGTGTCCGGTAGCTCTATGACCGGTGGCATGACGAACGGGAGTTCTATGACCGGTGGCATAATGAACGGGAGCTCTATGACCGATGGCATGATGAACAGTAGTTCTATGACCGGTGGGCCAAATTTGGGTGGCATGATGAACGGTAGTGCTATGACCGGCGGAGTCCCTCTCAGTGGTTCAACTCTCGGCGCTTCTGACAATTCCACCAACCTCCCATCTTCTGGCAACTTCACATCAATGCCTTTGAATGGCTCTCCCTTCGGTAATGCTACGGCTTCGTTGACGGGTGGTTTTTCCTCAAATGCGACAGGCACCCCGCTTGACGGATCCGCCTCTGGCCCCATGGATATGAATAGCACGGCTGTGCCTAGTGCCAACTCGACCGCCTCCAATGGATCAGCGATGCCCGTGCCAACCATGACGAGCTCTTCTAGTCAGTTCTTGCATTGTCAATCGTTCCGCCATTAGTATTGATGTTTTATTTTGTCTAGCTGGTGGTGCCTCCTTGAATGTCTTGTTCCAGGACCTCGAGAATGAAAATGGCGATGTTGCGCATATCATTCAAACCCTCGCAGGGATGGCTCCCAGTCAAGGTGAACTGTTACATATGCTCGTTTAATGTTTCTCATCTGACCTTCTGTAGTACAACCATCTGTGTCCTCTCTACTGACTCAAGCAACGGGGATAATTGGCAATGATTTCAGCCAGGTAACCCAGATTCCCCAGCCTCGAGGTTTCGGCTACCAGGGTGCCGGCAGTGTTGCAAGTGCTGTCCTGTAAGTACTTCGCAATGAATTCCTCAGACGAATTCGTACTGATCTGGAAATCTACCAGTGTGGCACGTTCTGCCGTCCCAACAGCTTCCGCCAAGACCAATGCTGCACTAGGTAGCAAGACAGCACTCGCTGGTTTCGCTACCGTCGCTGGTAGCATGCTTATCGGGGCTCTGATCGCATGCTAAGCGGTCTGAATAGGGCTGTTTCTTCTTGATTGGTGCAACAAGTTTTACGACATTTATCGCGGCTGCGCTGCGACACGATCACTGTTTACATTGACGTATTATTAGTATTTAAATACCTACCACTCTCATTTTCGTGAATTGTACCATGAAGTGAAAGACGAATATCATTAGTAGTTGTGATTGATTGATCTTGTCATTTTCGATATACGAAGGCAAAGACGTTTGCTTCAGGAGCAGTATTTGCTTTGAATGCTCTCTGAGCGCCGAGTGAGCAGACATGGCTGCTTTTGCTAGGTACTTATATAAGTACTCGAGGGCGTTCTCGCTGGGATCTTGTATGGTACAGAGATATATGTCGAATTCGAAGACCTGAGTATGAGATCATTCCTGACAGAACAGAAGATCCTAACCAGATTGAACCTGTTAAAATGTGCCTTATTCTGTACACTTGCCTTTGAAGTTCGAAGGGAACCGCATCATAGATTCTCGGATCCCAGGCTACGGACTGTCCCACAAATACGAGATGAGAGGTTTACAATTTTTTTCTAAAAACCTCAAATTCATGCGGCGACTCTTGGCATGGTCTGGACTCTGGTTCCTCTCAACTGCGGGGGATGCACGTCAACGGATGCTTTGCGTGGAGTATTGGGCAGACGAAGCCCTGCAATACCGACGGTCTTGTTACTGACATGCCCTGTATGTTTCATCAGAGGGGCGAGACAACGAAATAAATGCTTTGTTGACCATCTATGGTCGTCTTTAGGCGGTTTGGCCGGTAAATGTGAGGACAAACGCTAATTTGTCGCCGAAGAATCCGGCTCAACTTTGACTCATTCGAACTCGAGTTGCGCCAGGAGCAGGCGCTAAACCTCGCGCGGAGTCGACAAGTCGTACATGTCTCGTGGAAATGTACTCGAAGTCGACATCGCAGCCACACACTCAGCCACAAGACGGTGAACTATGCCGGTCGTTGTGTATCGAATATTGAATAAGGTGTGCATGCAGTAGTTTCAAATAGAGTTGACTTATGTCGAAACGACCTGTACGAGGACATGTAGTTGTACAGTAGTCAAACGGGCATGTTAATTAGGAGTGAATGTTTTACTACGCAGAGCTCTCAACGGATTTTCGACGCTGCGTTGCAATTTGGCTGAAACTTGAACGTGGAACATACTACTGTCGAATTCAACGCTGTACTACTGTGTGCATGGAGGATGAGTTGTTTGTAAGAAAGGCAACATAGAAGAAACGAGGGAAGCCACGTACGAAATCTATGTATTATATGACATCCGTATCGTCATGCCCTCCAAACGACCAAGTGCTGGTAATGACGAGTGTCACGATGGAGATGACAGAGACGGATGTGAAATTGCGTACGCGGCTATAGGTTCGATAAGGCAAGGATACACAGATTCCCACAACATTATGTATCCAACCTGCTTACTTCGCTCGCTAGAGGCATCGTAGATCGGGCATTTTTTTAGGCGAGCTCAGCCGAGTACGGTCATAACTGCACTCAGCTTCAACAAGTCGAGTCGTGGCGAAAATACAGTGTGAAACTCAGTAACTAAGAACGAAAGGGAGGGACGGCGGGTAAACGAAAAGAAACTGTAGACAGCAGGCGAGCAGGAGATGGCGGTCAGGACGAGAGCAGGGAAGAGCCTCTGTTCGTCGATGACTGAGTAATTGCTCACGCGTGGACAGGGGACTTCATCATAATTACGATTTGTCTGACGCGGCAGACATGTGCTATCGCCCGAACGCGGCGGGCAGGTGTCGCTACTCGAACGCGGCGAGTAGGTGTCGCTGTCTTCGCGGAAGACAGGTGTGACTGTCTGCAGCGGCAGACTGGTATGGCGGCCGAGTGCTTCGGCCGCGAGTTCAGGCAGGTTGGTCTCGTGAAAATATTCCTTTTAACCTCATCAGTTTGCATTCTAAGGTGACAAAATGGATACCGAATTATGTCCGCGGAGAGACCTCTCTGCGCTTGGTGACGCCAGTGCTGTGTAGGTCGAATTTCAAGTGGTTTGACGGTGTTTTTAGATTGATTATTTGGTATAATACGACACTTGGGCGTTCCGAAAATCTTCGGACCGGTACTAGTGACCACCGCGCAAACGTTGTGTCCTGATGACAGGATGCGCTTGTTATGAAGGCTACCGTGCTCACTGGCCATGGTGTTTTTTTGGAAAGCCTGCATAGTCTGAAGCATTGCAAGATATAAACTCAAACATGCCTGCCATGGCATCCAACTCAATTTCTAAATTTTGCACACCACGCTACGAGTCATACTCGCCAATATGCTTGATTCAGGTTTTTTTAATAAAATTCCTGGCAACGGTGGAAATACCATTAATGGCCCTGAGGTGCAATCTGCAATGTAAACGAAGCGACATATTGGATGAGAAGGCGGCAGACAGTGAATAACTACATCAGCTGGAGGTGTCTGATGAGGCGTTTCTGCGTTCATGCCGCGGCGCGGGGATTTGGGAAGCCGATCTCGGAGCAGACACAATGATTCTGTAACGATGTGCCACCTACATTCGAAAATGACCTCGACACCTGAGAGACTGATTGAGTTATGTCAGCATGAGAGGTGGGGATATAAAGACCAACCTGGAACAATGAATTTATTACTACCATTCTCACAGCTGAAAACCCCGGCGTAGTTGTACCAATGCATAGCACGCAATCTCCCTCGGGGTAAGCGCAATGAACATTGAGTTGTGAATAACTAAATGATTGCGACTCCTAGCATCTGGGACAAGGCGGAAACACATGTTCTTCAGGATGACTTCGCTGTCAAAGTGAATAAGGTGAGATTAAAATGAACAGAAATCTCATTCGTATCAACGTACTTATTGTCATCAGAATTCCCCGGCCGACGTTTCGCGGACGGCAATCGTGGAGTTTGTCACCGCGTTGGGTCTTGAAATCATTCCCACATATCAGCCCGACATTGAACTGAGGCAAAAGATCGAGGAGACGACTCGTCTATGGGAAGATGAAGAGGCCCTGCGTCCCTTCATTGTTTCAGCAATTTTCCTCACGGAAACGGGATACGGCCATATACTCGACAACAACGTGAAAGTTATCATCGCCCTTTATACTGCATTGATTTTAATCATGGACAGTCCAGCCATCGCCGAGGCGAACAACGCGATCGGCATTCCTCAAGGACTATGTCAAGGATCCATCCATGCCACACCCGGACTAATTGGGACGCTTGCAAAACTCGCGAAAGATTCATGGGACTATTTTGTTCCGTTTGCAGCAGGCAGTATTGTTATCAGCATTTTGGATCACGTCAACGGGGAAATGCTCGAGAGGTTGGGGGACACCGACTCGGATGCTTTGACTTCCTACCCCTTCGTCAAATATCGCCGAATGCTCAGCGGACTCCCCGACGCATTTTCCTGCTTTATTTGGGAAAAGAGTAGGTTTCCTGATGTCAACGCCTACCTGCTAGCCATCCCGTGAGTAAGAATGACTAACATGTCTATCATGTCCTTCCTGACATACTATTCTGCAAGGGCTGCAAATCTGGTCTTGACCTATATCAAGTCAGATATATATTTTTGCTCTTATATTCTTGAGCTCATACATTGCCTAGTGATATATTATCTCTTTACAAGGAGGAGCTAGCAGGGGAAACAACTTACATCCACGATCGAGCACGCACAACGGGAAAGCCGACTTTAGAAGCTCTTAGAGACGTAGCTCAAGAGACAGTAGCTGCCGTTGAGCAAGTGAGAGCTCTCCTTGGAGAAGGGGATGCAAGAGATGCATGGGACAGCTGTGTACAAGGATTTGTTGGCTATCATATTGCCAACCCGCGCTACCGCTTGAAAGAGGTTTTGGGCGGGGAGTATTTCATAGATCTCATGAAGTACTGAGGCTTGGAGAACGTCTCAAGATTCATTCATTCTCTTGCAATTGAGCTACTTTGCTGTATTCTAAGCACCCTGGTTTTGGCCTTGATTAAAACGTAAATATTCGCAGAAATACTCACATCTTATGGCCTTATTGCAAACCTTGGAAGCTTCATAGCGAGCATATCTGCATCATGATATGCTCCGAGCAAGCTGACTTAAGGTGATCGAACGTTAAACATTTGGACGCGCGCGCGCGCGAGTACTATACAATACTTACTTACGTATGTAGTATTTATCCCGCGCGTCTACAACTGGTCCTCGCTGCTCAGCGCTCAGGCCTCGCCCATGTATAGAACACAGGTAGAAAGTCGACTAAATGGCGCAAGTTCCTGACCTTGCTGGTGATACACTCGATGCTGAAATCCCAAGCTTACCGGATATCCTTGCATCCTCATCTGCAGTACTCTCAACAACCACACTTACATCGCCGGACGCGTCGTCTTACTTGAATCATTTGACCTCTTTACCACTCTCTGAACTCGAGGCACAACCAACAGAGTTATCGTCATCCTCAGCCCAGCTCACAAATGCCCTCACAACTCTGTGCTATACTTCCTATCCGACTTTTCTGTCAATCCACTCCACAACGTCCACGCTTTCGTCGTCGTTGTCCTCGCTTTCGTCCTCTCTAGATGCTCTTATTTCCTCGCTACCTGCACTTGACGCCGCCTCACGTTCCTTCGCAGAGGATACGCGCGAAATTCAGAAAGAGCGACAAAAGGCTGCACTCGTTTTGGAACACCACGACAAACTTTACGACGTTCTCTCCCTACCCACCTTGCTCGACTCGTGCATCCGCAATTACAATTATAACGAGGCCCTCTTGCTTGCAAGCCATTCCAATGGCTTAGCACAGCGCTTCCCTGCGAACCCGCTCATACAGTCCGTCAAGGCAGAGTGTGACTCGCGCGTGCAAGCAATGCTTGGGCAGCTCCTGCGCATGCTTCGTGAGCAAGCGAAACTTCCCGCTCTCTTCCGCGCTATCGGATTCCTTCGCAAGATGGATGTTCTCAGCGAGCCTGAACTTGCCCTCGCATTCCTCACAGGACGCGAAGTATATCTAGATGGAGTCTTAAAGACGGTAGAAATTGATAAACGAGACGTGCAAGGGGATAAGGAACGAGAGAAGGAAGCCTACGCGCGATTCCTGAAGCGTTATATCGACCTTTGGCGTGAAGGGGTGTACGATGTCGTCACGCAATACACTTCGATATTCCTCGATCCTGTAACGTCAATGTCTACCTCGGAGACAGCCAAGCTGCCTTTGCCACAGTTGCATGCCTTGCTGATGACATTCACGACCATGCATTTAGAGCGTCTCTTGACATTACTCCGCGACACGCTTCCGCACGTCACAGATCCGTCCCTTCTCACATCTCTGTTAACACAGCTAGTCTACTGTGCGAATTCGTTTGCGCGCGTCGGGATGGATTTCAAAGGACTTCTTGCTCCCATCTTCGTACGTGCGGTCAGGACGAGTGTCACAGCTGAATTAGATGAGGCCGCTGAAGGCTGGTGCGCTCAACTGGAGTCGGACGCTGCCCATGGAGAAAGCCGAATAAAGATAAATCCTATAGCCGTGTCCAAGAGACCTTCACAGTTATTGATTGCGTCTTCTGCACCCACCTCTCCACCCGTGCCTACCGCCACCCAGTTACAATCTCTCGCTTCTGGCCCGCCAAATGTGCCCCCTCCGATGCTCGCCTCGTATCCTACCCTCGCTTCATATACAAATGCGATACTGACTGCGTTCAATGGGCTCCGATTGTTGGCGCCGGCTGAACTTTTGGATGATTTGCTACGCGTATTGGATACTTCCCTCGTCAGGAGTCTCGGCGTCTTACTTCGATATGCGCAAACCAAGCCTTGGACTAATGAGATGTCGCATCGAGAGTCAGAAGATGAGGCAAAGGATGATGAGGTAGTTCGAGCGATGGGCACAGTGTTTGTGCAGTTATTTTTGCCATTTGTGAGGAGAGCCTTGGTAGAGGGTGTATATGGTGTCAAAATGGACGACAGCATCATCTTGACTGGAACGGGGCTACAGGAAGCTGTGGATGAATTGACTAATTGGGTGGTGCAGCGTGAAGAGGATTTCGCTTCAAGAAAACCACATCAGTAGGCGAGTCGTCATCCTAACTTGCGGTAGTTTGCGGTGCTCATGCACACCGGTAGATGTGCTGTACAGTCAAGTTTCGAATTCCATGCTCCATGAAATTAAAGTCAACATTTTTCGGATCTGACAGGCCAGGCTTCGCGGCGCCATCTTCATGTTCCGCGGTGGCTCGACAGAGTTATGGTTGTAAATTTCATTAATTCTGCCACTATCGTTGCGGTCAGCATGAATATGATCGATCATAGGTTGACAGCGGAATGACATCAGCTGTCACCGCGACTCCTGTCTCTTGGTCGTATAAAACCAATTCATTCCTTCAATCACCGAACACCCTCTCACCATTAGCATCAGTCTTGATTCAAGTCCATTATCATGGGCAACCAACTTTCCCGAGCACGCTACTTGGCCCTCGGGTCTTTTCTTGTCAACCTCAGTGTACAGATCTATGGTATGCTGGCGTCTCCGAATATAAAAGACATTGCGGATGCGGTCAGCCGCGTGTATGCTCACTATGTCTGTTCGTGCTAACTTCGTACAGAACCACTATGCCTTCTCTCCAAACCCTTGGTTCATAGCCACCTTCTTCTTTGGCCAGGTCATGTTTCAAATAGCTTGGATTCACAAGCTATTCGCATTCGATCCTATTGGGTATCACAAGCTTGGCTCGACTCCCAGAGCTGATTCCGCTCCAGACGCTGGGGTCAATGCGAATACTTGTACCAGTTCAGATGACGAAGAGGGCGTGCGAGTGGCCCTGGCTTATGCTCCAGTCTATGCTTTGGGCAGTTTCTGCATCGGTCGGTGTTCTTCTCGAAGCACCTTGGCTAACTAATCCAAAAATGCCTCCAGCTGGATGGCTCCTCTTTTGGTTGCGCAACGACTTTGTCGCTTCCCAAATACTGGTGACGGTCAATACATTCGCACAGTTGTTCGCCGTCGCCCGCCTCCCTCTGCTAACACCAAAGAGCTCCACCATCATGCGTTTGACGCATGTGGTCGCGATAACATTTGCGGGAATTGGCGTCCTAGACCTCATTGATAATGGTGGCGTAGTCCTCGTAAGTCGTCGTCTGGCTGTACCTCGACTTTCATTCTTACTTTATATCACAGCGTTATCGCGCGCCTCCCTCAATACTAGTCCAAGGTATCACGTATACCCTGTTTCCCGTCGCGACGGCGGCCTCGACACCATTCTTTGGCGCTATCCTCCTCTATGATCTTTTTGCTATCTTTGTTGGTCAGTATGATGTTTCCGATGCGGAACAATGGAGCGCTCGTGTGGGGTGGACTGCTCTTGCTACAGGAGGAATTGTCGGAGTGAAGGCATTGTTATCATGGAGGAAGAAGACTGGGGTTAGAACATGAATAAATGTGTAGATTTATTGGCCATATCGACGTGCAAAATCTTTCTAGCTTGAGGTTGGACACGCAAAGTAAAGCGATTGAATCAACCATTTTATATTCAGGCAGACGCAATGGTTGATCCCGAGATCGAGTAGAGACAAATATTCAAGTCAATACATCTCGACGCTTTCTGAACATCAAATTCACGTTGGGTGCTGGAAGGACCGAATGCCAGATGTTCAGATTCTCTGGACGCCCGCCTTCGTGCTCAAACTTGATATCAAAGTTCAACAACATGTATACCATCATTACTTTGAGTTCATTCACTGCGAAGAACCGACCCGGGCTGCACAACGTCGAAGCGTGGATGCAATACCTGATCAACGAGCGGTCACACAAATAGCAATATCGAGACGTACCATGCATGTTTCCCATGTCCGAAGGCAACGTATTCGGGGGACGTGGTCACATATTGATGCTTGAGGCCCTCGCTGTCGCCTTCCCGCATGTCGGAGAAGCGGAAGGGGTCGAACTCGTCCGCACGATCGTAAAGTTGCTTGTCGTCATGCGTTGAACGGGCCGACGCAGAAATGATTGTACCAGCGGGAATATACGTTCCGTCGGAGAGCGTGATGCTCTGCAGTACTTGACGCATCACAGTTACTATCGTGCACCGGGATGCCAAAGGGATAAAACAGTGGTTAGCGGCACCCCCTGAGCATGCAAGGAGAAACATGCGTACAAGAAGTAATGCCGTTCAGTCGCTGCGACTCGCGCATAAAGCTGTCGAGTTTTCGCATCTTGCCCATAGCGGCCTTCGTCCAACCGTGCTCCTTAATGATGAACTCCGCCTCCTCGCGCAAAGGCTGCACGTATTCTGGATTGGCCGCAAGATGGTAAAGAGCATGGGTGATGCTCTATGGAAATCAAGTCGTAAATAATTGCACACCGGAAAATGAGACTGCGGATGGAGATTTACATGGCTAGATGTGTGAATCGCGGCGAAATTGGACATAAGAACACTCTGGACGACGAGATCATCATCTTCTCCGACCTTTCGAGCTTCATCCATAAGCCACATAAGCAAGTCGTTCTTTGCACGCAAACACATGAGAGACTTGTGAGAAAACGAAGAAAAAAGATAATCACGGGTTTATCACTCCAATCATCACCCAGTTGCCGGAGCTTCTTCTTACGCTCTTCGATCAATGGTTTGAGGAATACAGATGCACGACGTATGGCTCTTTTTGACCACGGCAACATGTGTCCAACAGCGCTATAAAAAGTAGACGAGTGAGCAATCTCGAACCGTGATCTCCGAGATGCTATGGGCTTACCTCTTGAATAATGAAGGAACGAAGCTGAGAATGAAACGGCCTCTTGTGACATTGAACGTGAAATTGACGACAGTATCCAGGTATTCAGGATCACGACCTTCCAACAAGCTCGTCTCATCGAGGTCAAATTGGCGAAAGTCCTGAGGAACGTACACAAAGGCAGCCCGACAAAAACACGATTACTCGCGCGGGAAACCACCTGGGCCATGACCTTGATTGCATGGACCTTCGTCCACTCTATCCGCAAAATCATGAAAAGCGATTTGTACAACAAGACATGTTGTGCTCACCATCTTCGTTGATCGGAATCACATCCACGAATGCTTTCTGGATCTCATCGATGACACCCGCGAAGACAACATTTAGATTACGCGTAAGCGGTCCACGGATAACAGGAAGGTGGATTGGATGTCTGTGCAAATTAGGCGCAATTGTGTACTTTGTCTGAATGATCTGTGTGCGAGATAAGTTATACCTTATGTCCACAATACAGAATTACTCACCTCACTTGCTGCAACCTCGAAGGACACGTGCGAGTCTGGGAATCTACGCAGCTCTTCGTTCATATCAGGCCCGCTAACGATGACAATCCAACGATCAATGTAGGGCACCCGAAACACTTTGTACTGTAAGTATTCTGCGAATCAATTACATATCCTTAGTAGAAAAGTAGGCGGCTACCTTGTTGTATCCTTCCTGTAGCATATCCTTCGCATTGCGACAATATCTGTAAGCTCCCAGATAGGATAATAATGGGGAGGAGGGACCGATAGCAGGGATGTGATACAACTGTGTGGATGATTCCACTCAGCGTCCTATCAAAACGATAGACATTTCTATTACTTACCGGATCGAATCTCCATCGCATGAGGAGTGCAATGCAGACAACGACACTCACGGCACCGATGACTTGTAATACTCCAACCATACTAGTGCTGTATTCGTGAGGGTAGTGACGAAAGACTCTTTGAAGCCCCTTTCCCACTTGAAATCGACTCTATATAGAATCTCGGCGACACAGCGGGAGAGGTGGCCGTCCGACCAGGTCCAAACTTGACTAGGTAGGCCTTACGTTCCATTGAGATAGCCGACATTCCCGTGAGGCGACATGTGCCAGTGGTGTCATATTCGAAGCCCAGAAGCCAACAAGTAATAGCGCCGGCTTCCCAGGACTCAAAATGTGATACCAAACAGGCGCTCACACTCGAGTTTGGCGAGTAAAGTGCGAGCAAGTAGAAAGGGCAACTGGGGGAGAGGAATCTGGCAGCTTCAGCTACAGGTGGAATGTTACGTGGCCGTGGCGCAATGCGGGGTAATTCCAGATCTGGGATGTCTTATGAGGGGAAACACAAGCGGCATGACCCGCAGACAGACGCTTACAGGTTTATGATTTTGCATTGCTTCACAGGCCGACCGTCGCATGAATTACACGGGCCTTACTGGGCCGAATAGGTGATAGCACACACATATATGCTGACTAGGGCCTCGACTTGACGATATCGTGTTATAGAGGACGTACGTGCAAAATATCGCACTTGCGTTTGTGCGAAGCACGCCGCTGCCAGGTCTACGTGCGTACCTCCCGGGGCAAGCTCCCTGGCCAAACCATTGGAGCTTTGCTTGTACCACAGAGTGAAGGACGACAGCAACCGACGGGCATGTCCCGGCTCCTATGCGGCTACCACTCACTTGGTGTAGAGCAGCTGCCGCGGCGGGTGGCAGCTTTTATGCCAACCGGTGTCTGACGGGTCTCGTGGATCCTCTAGCTCTCAAATAGTTAGAAGACGTTTGCGGCGGATTGTGTGGACGTACGGCTGTTTCGAATTGTACTGATTCACCTTCAACTTTAAGTTTCAAATTATGTCGAGTTGAGCGTCATGTGATGTGACCGAATTTGCACGATTCTCCAGTCAGTAGTACAGGTATGTAACAGTACCCAGTGCTCCGAGTCAGTGTCATGATTCAGTGAAACAATCTGAAACCAGTATTCCACAGAGCACAACACATATAGCCAGTCCCCGAGTTGGTAGTTTCGAGTTCCAGCAGCAGACAGACGATATTGCTTTTTTAGTTGAGTTGTCGCACCAGCGGTGCTACATGATGTAAGTCCGCGTTGTACAGGAGAGCATGTAATACAATGTTACATCGGAAAAGGCTGAGAGCACAAAACAAGAGCCGGAACGAGAGGTATAGACTTGGCAAGACGAGAGTCTCCTAACAGTTAACAGCGCTGATCTATATACCGTATACCCCCATGATCAAGCCCACAAAGCGCACGAGAGCTCCTATATATTTGTCCATCCACACTCATACCCCCAGGCGTTTTTTGAACATCAGATTCACATCAGGGGCTGGCATCACGGTTTGCCAGACGTTCAGATTTTCTGGACGCCCGCGCCCATGCTCAAACTTAATATCAAAGTTTAAGAGCATGTACGCCATCATTACTTTCAGCTCATTCACCGCAAAAAAGCGGCCAGGGCTACGAGATATCGAAACGTAAACGAAGAGCAGTGTGCAGCGAACGGACTATGAAGTTTCAATCCACAGATAGTAGGACGCACCATGCATGTTTTCCATGTCCGAACGCAACAAACTCCGGCGACGTGGTTACATATTGATGCTTCAGGCCTTCTGTCCCGTCTTCACGCTTGTTGGAGAAACGAAAGGCATCGAATTCCTCTGGGCGATCATAGATTTCACCGTCAGAATGGGTCGACTGGGCTGTCGCAGACACAATTGTGCCGGCCGGGATGTATGTCCCATTGGAGAGAGTGAGGCTTTGGAGCGCCTTGCGCATTACAGTTACTGGTCAATTCTATGCTGTCAAGATGCAGGTTGACGAACACAAATGAGAGCAGCACTTACACGCAGTAATTCCATCTAGGCGCTGCGACTCGCGCATGAAGCTGTCAAGTTTGCACATTTTTCCCATCGCTCCTTTCGTCCAGCCGTGTTCTTTGATGATGTATTCAACCTCTTCGCGCAGCGGTTTTGCATACTCAGGATTGGCCGCGAGATGGTACAGGGCGTGTGTGATACTCTATGGCGATTCAACCCATAAATCACCGGGGATGACTGTAGGAAGGGTAAGGTCATTCACCTGACTTGAGGTATCAATGGCCGCGAAGTTTGATAGAAGTAATCCTTGCACGACAAGGTCAGTCGTCTCTCCGATTTTATTTGCTTCTTCTATAAGCCACATAAGTAGATCATTCTAACAAAAAAAACAGTGAATTGCAGTCACATAAAAGTGGAGCTTAGCGAAGCATACAGGCTTGTCATCCCAACCATCACCAAATTCTCGAAGCTTTCGCTGCCGCTCTTCGATCATTGGATTTAAGAAAGTGGACGCTCGGCGGAACGCCCTCTTTGACCAAGGTAGAACACGTCCAACAATGCTAAGGATCAAGCGGATCAGAAACTTGCATCATGAAATATCCAATCTGTTGAGAAACTTACCCTTTAAATAGGAATGGAACAAGCGACAAGATAACATGCCCTCTGGTGACATCAAACGCGAAATTGACCACTGCATCTAAATATTCAGGATTGCGGCCTGCCATAACACTTCTCGTGAGCGGTTTTTGTGTATGAATGGTGCCTTCAGACGAACGCACATAACGGAAGGCCAACAAAAACGCGGTTGCTTGCTCGAGACACTATTTTTGCCATAGTTGTGATTGCATGGACTTTGATCCACTCTGCCATCGATAACACATGGTTATGTAGAATCTTGATTCGGAATAAGAGAACGAGCTTACCATTGTCGCGAACAGGCACGACGTCATGAAAGGCGGTATGGATCTCGTCGACAACATCCCCGAAGACCACATTGAGGTTGCGCGTAAGTGGTCCACGAATAACGGGAAGATGAATAGGATGCTCTTGAACGTTCGGTGCGATGGTGTACTTCGTCTGAAAAAGCTAGATGAGGCATTAGTCAGAGGAGCCTCACGCAATTACTACGAGACATACCTCATCGGCCGCGACCTGGAACGACACGTGCGTGTCTGGATACTTACGCAGTTCCTCGTTCATGTCTGGTCCGCTGACTATGACGATCCATCTGTCTAGCATGGGTACGCGGAACACCTTGTGCTAGATAATTGCAGATCAGTCACATTCATTGTTGGTGATTGAGAATTTACAGATGAATACCTTTTGATACCCTTCCCGCAACATGCTTTTGGCATTGCGACAGTACCTATACACTCCTAGATAGGACATGATTGGTGCCGACGGTCCAATAGCGGGAATGTGATATAACTATGCGGGCAATGAACGTTTGAACATGGTTCCATGAACTGAATGAATGCTTAGAAACCTACTGGGTCAAACCTCCATCGTATAAAGAGTGCAAGGCAGACAATACTGATGACGGCACCAATCTCTTGCCAGTGTATGGAGACAGACATAAAGCTCTACGGGGTGGGAAGCGGAACCTGAGGTATCTAAGTTCTAAGTTAGAAAGGAGTCCTTTTAAGCTGCACCACGTCGAGGTAATTCACACCTTTCATGGCCGAGACTAAGTGGCGGCGGATTTCCGCATGCTTCTCTTAGCTTCCTGATTCCGACATGAGGATTTATTCGAAGCGAGGAAGCGGTATGCCCGAAAGTTGGCTTCCTAGGGTAGCTCAACGAAAAGCCACTGGGTATGGTGTGGCCCGGGCCTAATCATCAGATACAATGGCCAGATATGCGGCGAGTCATACAATGTGAAATACGCTGAACGGTGTCTAGTTGCAGTTGTCACATTGTACAACTTCGGTCAAAAGACACGACGAGAACTGATACTTCAATAATTGTGTGTCATCACGAGCATGTTAAGCGGGCCGTAGATGTGATCACAGACACAATTGTGCTTACCCGGCTCCTACATGTAGCCGAAGGCCTAGTCCATGGCGTCATTGTGGAAGTGTAAGAATGTGAAATCGGAATCTGAACGCATCAACCATACTACATACCACGATAGGGTAGGTAATGATGAAGTTTGGAATCGCATTCTCCAGCCCATTCCTGATCACAGTATTTTGAGTGCAGATAAAGATACCTGTTTCGCAATATATTATCTAGCGGCAGTGGAGATTCTGCGGATGGATTTGCAGCTTGATTTTGGACATACCTCAGAGGAGTGTGGGTTGTTATATGTCTGTGGCTCAATACAACATACTGTCCATTTCAATGAATTCCCTTCAATGTCGGCCATTTTCCAAGAGTATTCACTGATCAGTGATGAAGCCGAGCCTGCATTCGGCATAAGTTCTGCGTGAAAACTTCGGCCATTGCATTTCCAAGTCTAGATGTACATTGAAAACAACAGCTTCTAGTGGTCAGTCTCCACACAACAATCCAACAGTTTGTAGTGTCTGTAGTCCAAATGGTCATAAAGGAAGAAAGAAAAGGTCGGACGACCTCAATTCGGTATTATCTTCCGCCTTCTGAAGAGGACCTTGGTATTCGAGGGAAATATGGAATGCCAAATCCACTTGTTTTCCGGTCGTCCGACACCATCTTCGAACTTGAAGTCGTAATTGAGCAATATGTATGCCATCATCGTTTTGATTTCATTCACGGCGAAGAAACGGCCAGGGCTAGAGGACCAATGAATGACGTTTTTGTTAGAATTAAAACATGTCAGTAATCGACCACCTACCAGGCATGCTTCCCATTGCCGAAAGCAACGAATTCAGCCGACGTGTTGACATACTGGTGTTTAATCCGCTGTTTACCTTCCGTTCGCTTATCGGAGAAGCGGAAGCCATCGAAGACATTGGGATTCTTATAGTGCTCACTGTCCAGATGAGTGGCATGTGCGGCCGCAACAACCAGTGTACCTTTGGGCAGATATGTTCCGTCCCTGAGAGTAGTATCCTGTAAAATCTTGCGCATCACAGAGACTAGAGCCAGCCCATTCAGATGAATAAGATGATAGGGTAATAGAGGGCGCACTCCCAGAGATCCCATTCACGCGCTGAGACTCTCTCATAAAACTGTCCAGCTTCCACATCTTTCCTATCGCAAGTTTGGTCCATCCATGTTCTGCAACGACAGCTCTTACCTCCTCTCGCAGCGGCTGCAAATATTCGGATCTATGAGCGAGATCATATATAGCATGTGTAAGGCTCTGCGAAGTTACGAGCATTTTGAGAGTATTGTCATAATGCAATTAAGTGACTCACGTGACTCGAAGTGTGTATGGCGGCAAAGTTCGAGACCAGAACAGCCTGAACAATTAAATTAATATCCTTCCCGGTCTTTCTGGCTTCTTCTATCATCCACATGATGAAGTCGTTCTGAGAACCACAGCCCAATAACAAAAATGCGCTGTCAGGACACCAGTCAGCAATCAACACTCGTGTAATTTACTTACCGGCTTATCAGGCCAGTCTCCGCCATGAATATCTAAGTATCGCTGTCGCTCTCTGATAATCGGCGTGATATATGCGGCCATTCGGCGAAGAGCTCGCCTAGACCAAGGCAAGAACAGACCCACGAAGCTGCCATGCAAAGATTAATTTAAACAATTTGACATTTCAGTGTTCAGACGAGTAGCTTGCCCTCTGAGATACCCTGGAACGAGCTCCAATATGTCCCTCGCTCTGGATACATCGAAGGCGTAATTGAGAACAAGTGATAAATACTCGGGGTCTCGACCTTACGTAAGGCATTGTTTATCAACTTGTTAAACGCATGTTTGAAAACATATACGCACATAAAGGGACACCGACAAAAATACGGTTGCTCGCACGAGATATCACATGTGCCATGGTATGCAGGACAGAAATGGGAATCCAGTCTACCATTTGTATAGATCAAGCGTATGACTGATGCTTCGAGCCCAAATGAAAACTTACCGTCGTCATGGGCAGGAATTGCCTCAGGAAAAACGATTCGTATCTCGTCCAATATGTCACCGAATAGTACACCGAGGTTGCGCGTAAGTGCACCTCGAATGACATTGATGTGGATAGGGTGATCGTTAATGTCGGGCGCCATAGTATACTTCGATAAGAATACCTATGAAATTGGCGAATTTTATAGCGGATGTTATTCGGTGTGGGACACCATAGAGATCATGTGAATGAACCGATCATATGAGGCACTTTTTTATTACCCACATCATTTGCAGCCTGCATAAAGGAGGCATGCGTGTCCGGTACCTTGCGGAGTTCTTCATTCATTTCGGAACCGCTGACCACCACGAGCCATTGCGCAAGCAACGGGACTTTAAATGTTTTGTGCTGTGAAACAAGACATTTATTAACTAAGAGAGAGTTTCTCTGTTGAAAGAGAATTGGAGTAGCACGCACCTTTTTGTATCCTTCCAAGAGCATCTCGCGTGCATTGTGATAGTACCTGTAAGCTCCTAGGTAGGAAAGTAAAGGTAGGGATGGCCCGATAGTGGGGATGGAAGACAGCTGCAACAACGTACTGACTTAGTGATGTAATTGGTTATAGAGATGCATATGGAGAATTGAACATACGGGATGTGTGTTCCAGTAGATGAAATACAGAGCGACGATGGTACCAAGTAGCACGTAGACATAGAGGACCACGTCGCCCATGACGCGACTACAATATCTCGGATGTCTCAGGACAGTCGACAATCATGCATGAACTGCCGGTACGCAAGATTGGTACTCATTCGTACTTTTTGTACCAGCTCGACTCATATTTACGCGATTACGGCGTGAGGCCGGCAGCCGGATGCAGTTTCGAATTCATTATCCTCGACGCTTCGACATTTCCGACAGTCGCGCCGGGTTGTTCACATGGCCCTACCACATCTCGTACGAGGGGTGGACTTATCCCTGAATCAGCATCTTAAGGATTTTTCGCGAAGCACATCGTCCGAACATCGGGTCGTAAGCATCACACCGCGTGGCTGTGGGCGGCGGCTGGCGCTATATCACAACACTACTCCCATGGCCAGCGGTGTACAAGTTACACCGCTAGGATCACGCTGTAAGTGGGGCCGACGTATTCCTGACTTCTTTCGCGCGCATCTTCATTCTGTCGAGCTTTAATATAGGTGCCTGATATGAAAGAAAACAGAGCATGTGATGGATGCCAGCCGGATTGTTGCTTATATGAGAGATAGATCGCACGCACGTACAGGCCAAGCATTGGCAAAGAGCCCAAGCCCTGCTGATTCGTAAGAGCGCATAGCTGCGGTCATTTCCAATAGTAGATGGCGCTCGATCTAGGTCGATATGATACAGTGCTTTTGTATTCTGCGTTGGTGTGAGACCGCTCACGCCGGGTCAATATTCTCAACTGTCTCGTAGAACTCTTTGATTAGCCGCTTCTGAGCGTCAATACCCTTCTCGGTCTATAAGGCGACAGCGTCGAGAGAAAAAGTAGTCAGCACGATGCGAAGATCAGCGGTGGACTCCCAACAGGATAGTCAGTGAGACATACTGGCGTATCTCCAATAGCGCGGATTACAAGATGTTTCCTTCCGGCAAGCACCTCCTCGGTTACCAGATTGTCTAAGGGTGCAGAGTGCGATCCCGCCACAAAACACCCGGCCTCTTGGGCGATGATTGATCCTGCGCATATGTCCCACGGCCTGAACAAGCCGGTATTAGAAACACTTTCACAAGTAATCGATACACACATACCAGCAACCAATTTCCCTGAAATCGAACGAGGTATGAGTTTACGACTTGATCGAGGAATGATACGTGATCTATACATACCAATAGACATCCATACCACCTTGGGCGACCATAGCAAAATTCAGCGCTGCACTACCCAAAGAGCGCAGGGAATGCGCCATTCGTCCTCCCGTCACCCCTTCTTTCGGGTTTCCAGCGAGTCTTTTGAAAGAATCTCCCTTGGACTCAATGGCACTATGTGATCGATCGGACCCCCATTCAATACCTTAGCGCATAAATCATTATTCAAGTCAGGGACACAAAGTCAACGTAGAACCAACCAATGAGTGCCTGAGAGAGCGATGGCAGCGGGCGTGGGACGGCCAGAGGCAGCTTCACAGGCCCACGAGTACCTTGCGTAAGATATGCCCCCTGCCCTTTCACTCCCGTATAGAGTTGATCCAAGAATGGGTTATAAATGACACCGAGCACTGGCTTCATGCTGTATATGAGGCCGAGGGATATGCACGCATGAGGAAAACCGTGGACAAAGTTCGTTGTGCCATCTGCAATGCGTGTGGGTCTCGACAATCATGGACAGCCGGCGCTGGAAATCCTCCATGACACTAACCGATAGGATCGACACAGAATGTAGGCTCGTCTGTCAAAGGAGGTCTCGAGCCAGCAGCGTACGATTCTTCTCCGATGCTAATCAGGGTCAATTGTGAGCGTGGCCCAATCATGACATATGCCCCACGTAAAATGAAGTGAGCACGACTGACGTCGGCTTGAAACACTCACAACTTGAAAGTAGGATATTTTCCACCCAGTTCCTTCTTCACCAACTCCTCAACCTTGACATCGTACTCCGTCACCAAGTCGACAGAATTCTTCTTCTCGTCTACATTCCCTGTGGATCGGATGGCTTGGGATCCTTCAAGTATCAGCTCTCCAGCAGAGCGAGCTAAAGAAGAGGTGAAAACCAAGATTGATTGTAGGTCAGATGGTGACAATTCAAACAACTCCGACATGTTCAGACAGAAAATGTGTTGATCACCGGGTGTCGACTCGTCGACGACTGCAGTGCTAATAGTAAGTACAGCGGCCAGTCCAAACAAGGGCACTGGCGCCTAATCGATCAAGTCATGTGCGCCAGCATCATGATGGTCTAGTAGTGGCGATGGGCTTAAAGTACTTATACTGTTACACTGAGTGCACTGCATCTACTCGTTGAGCGCGCGCGACCCTTGAGCCAGTCATTGGTCGGAGACTGTGGAAACCTTCTTGCTCTGAATTTTTGATGCATGTCCGGCACTTCGTAATGAATACACTTCGCACAAGCCTCGTTCCCGACGGTCCTTTTTAATTTTAGAAATGGCTTCCATGACAAGTGGGTGTGATCGTTTTGATACATTCAATGCATGAAATGGGAAGTAGAGTACTACCTCGAGGTCTGTCTGAATTTGCGCAAAGTTTTACAGAGAATCGATACAGGCCCGATATAGGGAAGAGTCTGTATCATGTCGATTGCTGCAGACACACTACATCAGAAGCCTACGCGCTTACCACCATCAGCATCGAAGCTTGACGGTCTGCCTGCGTGTTTACACGAATCCGGGTATCTTATGGGGCGTACTAGTGACGGATCGCAGTCAGTGCGACTGGCCTATCAGTCTTCCGAGCCTAGTCATCTTGCCTGGTACGTCAGATCTGCAGTATACGTTTAAGGCAACCCTGACTCTATCGTTGGTACATACAAGCTAGGTGTTTGTGCGGAGTGTCGTCTCAAAGTCTATGCTAGTAGTCTCTATATGTGAGTTGCATGTGAAGCCTTGGTTTTACTCTCGATTGATTCAGGCGCATATACCATCGTTGGGGAACACTAATGCTGTATAAGTCTCATCTACTGATTATGCTATCTGACTGTAGTGAACACGTTGCAAACTGACAGCGGTTTTTCGCTTATGGACTGATTTAATTGTTGCATGTCAGATGAGCTCTTCTCGGGTCGCATTTCCCCTTTGACCAGGTCAGCTTTACTCTCCCAGCATTCATTCACCAAGCTATGACAGCCTTCCTTGGGTTGGCGGAATCTCTGGAAGTCTGATATACTGTGCGACTGCACGCGTTAAACACGATGCATCACCCTCTCAATGTCATGGCGCTTGTTTTTGCTTCTGGCATGATCAATGTGGTCCATCATAGCAAGAGGACCTCAGGGAAACCGACCTCCAATGAATATTATGGATGCACAATGCCACCGTCGTGGATATCTATGACAGTGTGTAAAGGCGTGGTGGCCAGTTCAGGCTATATAGTAGTGGGCCGCCACTACAGCCAGCACTCGTTCTTTTGCTCTCAGTGCGTAACAGTATAACTTTACGCTATGCTGCATCATTCTCCAGAACAAACTTATGTCGATATGATGTTTGCTGCCAGTAATTATTATGCAAGCTGGGATCCTTTACGACCTGTGAGGGTGAGTAATGCTCAGGGTGGGATCCCAATCAAAACGTTGACTGGCGGCGATGATCGTCATCATATTTTTCTAGCTTGGAGATTATGGCATTTTGCAAGAAGATGGCTCTTTCGCCGAGTCAGGCAACATCTTTACGGATGGGATAGCAGAAAAGTATAATATCTCGCTTGAAGACTGTGGGACCGATAAATTACGCTGGGTCGAAGCGATCCATTCGAAGGAGAGAAGAATGACTGCACACGTCATGAGGTGCGCGACTCAATCATTTGGACGATGCCCGATGCAGTCGTTGAGGATGGTTGTTCTCTGACCGTAGTGGCAACCCGCCCATCATGGAAGTTGGATTGAAGAAAACATTTTCTATAACCAGTCACCGCGGAGCAATTCTAGTGATGCTCGAACCCAAACTGAGCCGCCTCACCTACCCTGGTCGACTCAGCAAGCTTATCCACTCCGAACATTTCAATGATGAGCATGTGCTAGTGACCGAGGTGTATGCGTGCGAGTCGTACGCCCGTCTCCTCGCTCCACACCAGGAGTCCAGCGTCGAGATAGCCCTGACCGCCTCGTCTGCTGGTGGAGCAGTTGGTGGAAAAGGAAGCATGGAATGGAAGACAAGTGCTAGCAGCTGCGACTTCAAATCTGCGCACGATTCTGACGACGGCAAAGTGCATTATCCCCTTTTTCGGCTCTGCGGACGGAAACACAGGCACAAATGTATGCATCTGTGGCACGCGCATCGTGCCGTGGTCGAGCTGCCCCCGCCGACGAAGCACTCGCCATTTGGACAAATTTTCCATCATCGGGAGAATACCACGCCATCAGCCTCGAGATATATCGATGAACATGAACATGACATCCACGCTAACGAGCGGTACACCTATGATCAGGATGGACAACATGGGCATTGCGGGTGCGGTTTTCGTAGCGAAAACGTTGATGTTGTGGGAGGGGTTATTAAAGATGACAGTGCGTGGAAGCCTGACGCTGACGCGGTATGTGATAAGATTTTGACGAGATTGCATGCTGACATGATGTATCTAGGGTCGTGATGTTGGGCAGCGAGCTCGTGTCCAGAGTACCTCTGATGGGAGACGCAAACCGCAACAATAGCACGCACGCTCTCATTCACGTTAACCTTGGGATTACCGGCTTGATCCCTGTCTTGGCTCGGAGTCTTACGACGGACACGCGCATGATGAAGAGATATTGTCTTCCCTACTCGCTGATGTAGTATATTCCTTCGTACCTTCGCATCCGGAATACATCGGATTTATCTCCACTTCGTATGTGCGAACGTGTCGTCGTTGCAAATGGTTGGGTTGATTAGGAATCCCTGAGCTCGAAGCTGTGGTCTATCACTTCGAAATACGAACTAATCTGGAACATCGCATGGATGACTCAGAACATGAAGTCCATTAGCTCAGCGGTGTTGAGCTTGAGCTTGAGTGGATGCTGCATGATGATATTGAGCCCTTCGCTCAATGTCGCATCATCTGGTTGTCATAAACGGAGTTGGGCTCTCTTCTACTCTCCCCGCGTGAGCCATTTGTGTCCCGATCCCAATCGTATCCTGCAACAAATCCTCGCCCAGCATCCTCAGATTCTGATCGGATACCCTAGTATGTGGAATCTGCAGGCGTTGCGCTGGGGGCATACCAAATACAGTCTCTTCCTGTTCGCCTTCACAGTCGGCATCGTCGAACGAATCGTCATCGTCGAACGAGTCCGCCGCTGCCGCCAGCCCACGCGCAAAAGGGTGCACAGGCTCCATGCTATCCCCCTCGACAAAGTCACCCGCATTGTCCGACACAAACGAGTCGTCGTCGTCATCGTCGTCATCGTCGTACGACGCGCGCTGAGATGCCATGATGAATGCAGCAGACGGGTTCGCAGTGTTGTGCGCCTCTTCGTAATCTAGTGAGTCCATCGAGTCATCTGGGTCACCGTTGTCGATATCATCTTGTAGCTCCTCGTCCTGTAAGTGCATCAAGTTGTACTGCGGGGGTGCTGGTGTCTCGGGTTCCTCCTCCACAACAGGGGGGGAATGAGGTCGGAGAGTCATTCTCGACACTCCGGAGCTACTGGCAACAGGCGCGGAGAAGGCAGACGATGAAGGTACGCTGTCAACAGAGCGCGCACTTATGCTTTGAGCAGCCGCGGCTGTAGGCTGATTAGCTGCAACCTGACCAAACCCGGGGATGTCCAGCCCAACTCGGCGCATCATGCTCTCCAAACTTGCATCCGCAACGCTCCCACTTGTCTCTGAAGGAAGAGGCTTCCGATGGTATCTGGACAAGGAAGGTGGAGTTGGCATGCTGCTCGCACTCGACTCCGCGCCGCTCCCCGTCCCACTCATCACTGCGCCCCGCGCACCTCCAAAGACACCACGCTTCTCCACTTCCAGCAGGCTTTGTAAAATTCGCTCAGCAGCATCCTTTTTCGGCGTCTTACCCAACTTTGGCAGGCGAGCAAAGTCCATCGTGACTGGAGGCGACATGCCAAATTCGACATCAAAAGACTCATCATCTACAAATCGCGGTGTCTTCGGTTGTGCCTTCGATGCAGGACGCGCAGTCGAACGCAAAGAAGGTGAGGGCGCGTAGCCCTTCCGAGGGGTCGCAAGCGAAGGATCGGCGAGATCAATGACACCTCCCCAGTCATCGGGCTTGGTCCCTGGAGGAAGATAAGGATTTTTGGACCTGAGGATGGGTGTCTTTGATTTGACTTTAAGCGGTGAGAAGGCAGCTTTCCTAGGGCTCGCCAGTGATCGATCAGCATCACTGGCATTGCGACGTAGAATATTTTTCAGGAGAGGCTGGGCTTCTTTGGCCTTGCATTTGCCGATATCGGCGGCACGCTGCGTCGAAGATCTGTTCCCCAGCCCGGGCAGGGAAATCGGGCGTTGGGTGGCCTCTTCAGATTCATCATATTCCGCGGATTGATACGATGCCTCGTCATCGTCGGTAAGGTCTCGAATATCCCTATCCAGCTGAACGAGTGGTGATTCAAGTGATGCCGTCCATGAGGGTGTCGGATCCGAATCCTGACTGGCGAAACTGTCATGCACGCGCATATTGCGGTGTCGGGATGAAGTAGCTGGGGTTGAAGAAAGCGCAGCCTGAGGTAAGAATGAGACATCGGTTGATGATCCATCTGAGTTGAAGGAATGTTGAGAACGGGTGGGAATGGTCTCTCCTTCCGACACGGCCGATTCTGAGGCCTCCGCGGAGCCCACTTCCGCGTCCGAGCTCTCCTCTTGCTCGTGTTCTTGCGTGGAGTTGTACTCTTCATACGTAGGAACGCGTATCTGTGCCGCTTGCTCAAAGAATGTGGTCCAAAACTGCACAGGAATCCTGAGAGATTCAGATTCTAAGATGAAACACGACAGCCTCACGCACCCTAGCGGCCTCGCGAACAGGCTCCGTTCCCACTGCATACCGCTTCACCGCAGGCAGTATCCTGTTCGCCATGACATGCTGCATTTTAGAAAAGTTGGCGTCGATATTCTGTAGCTTGATTGTGATGAGCTGCTCAATCTGCTCGATCTGATCGTTGACTGGCGCGGAGGTATCGAGACCTGGGACGACAATTGCGCGAGGGTCCAGAGTAGGCTCCCAGCGCGGCGTCTTTGGCTCGATGGGCTTCAAGGGAGACGACATGGGTGTAATGCTAGTGGAGGGAAACCGGGTTGGACGCGTTGGCGCGACGCGCTGCGCCACAGGGTTTGTCTAGGAATGGCAACTCAGCAGGTGATATATGGCAAAGTTACTTTTCACACTGCAAACATAACAGAGAATTTCCATTTGATGTTTTGTGAGATACTTGAGGATATCACCATTGGATCTCTGTTGGAAGCACTATTTCTTGGCAGTTTTGGAGGATATGCTTTAAGTATTTCCTAAGTATGGTAAAAGGGTTATCATTTCAATTGTTGTGCGTACATCCTTGAGTGTTTTTATAGGATTTCAAGTGGAAATATGTTCTTACGCTTGCCGCAAGTGTCAATCTGCTAATAAAAGCCTGTGACCAGTACTACAATTTTCTCTCTTCCTGATTTATGTTCCCTGTGAAATCTCTTCTACGACGATGCCGCATGGAGTTTCTCAGAAACCAATTTTAAAAAGCTAATTTCAGTATTGTAAGCACTTGCCGAATCAAACGGCAATGTTCCGTACCGAGCTCACCAAGTTGACGAGAGCTGCACTACTGCTTCGCTTTCCTTGACTTCTCTGCACTAGTGATTTCAAAAAGTGGCGTCCGACAACACGGTGCGGTCTCTCCGGTATGCAGTACATACCATAAATCCCCAGAGGTACGCCGACATCTTAGAACGGCCATTTGCGTTCTCAGCCTCCTTTTCGAACAGTGCGCTGATCGGACTTTGACCCACCATAGACGGACCGCTCATTGTCTGCGTGTGCGCGTGGACACCCCTCCGCGTGCCGGAGGAGAAGAGAAGGGGGTGAAGCGGTGAAGCGGTGGCTTATTGCTGCCTTGGCTAGCCATCTGATCAAGTTCGTCGAAATACCGGTGAGTCATGCTGACTCTTGTTCCTGTGATCTTTGGTATAGTCACTCGCGGTAAACGCTTTGTCGCTGAGACCCAGCGCGTGGTACTACATTTCCCAGAATTACCTCAAGAGACTTTTGAGGCGCCACTTTAAGACGAGCTTTGTATATGCGCGAGCTGTAATATCTCATACGTTACTCGATGGCGAGCCATGGTGCTGCGACAACCGATGTAAGCCTCACAACATTACTCGCATTACGTCAGATTCTTCGGTCCATTGGGATGTCATTTGCACATACCCGCTGGGTTTTGATAGAACTCTATGACGAACGCGCGCATTGATATGTCTAGCGTAGGCCACAATCGTACGTTCGGGACCACGCGTTACTATCCCGAAGTTGTCCACTGGGCGGCACTATTGACACATGGCAAACAACATTCGATGTTGGTCCCTGACCTTGTCTACAATCTTCCGAAAAAAGTTCCTTCTAACACACCACGCACGCTCGTCTAGCTGATTTCTCGGCCCACCGCGGCACCTTTCTTCTAATTCCCGGACACAGCGGGACTGGTGGCGCTCTGCCCACTTGCATTCTCCCGCTGTCACCGCGCCTCCGCGAACTGCGGTCCTTCTTGACCCAATGTGTACCAATTATTGTACAATCTACAAGCCCTTTTCCATTTCCACAAGTTCAATTGACCATGACCTTCGACGTCGTGGCGTGCCGCGACTCCATAGCCAAGAATCTCGAAGAGAACCCTAAATTACAGCTGCCTCCGCTCGGTATAGCTGCAGTCGGGGCGGACACAGTCCGACAGTCTAGCATGGGCGGCTTGGGGATATCCACCAGATTCGCCTCGTGCCATTCCGCCACCGGCAGGCACGGCTGTCGTCCGGTCTTCCAAGCAGCCACGACATCACTCGCGTTGCGTTCAGGGTCATTAGACCATTCCGGTTGCAGCGCGAGGCTATTCCGTAGCTGTCACCGTCCGCGCTCGCAGCGGTCTGTATGATCTCCACGGGGCGCAAGCTATCCAGGCTATGGGCTCGTTGCTGGCTGACTTCGATAAGCCGTCTTGTTCCCGCCCTCGGCGCCTGCATCTGTCCCTGGCTGCTGTTCGAATTCAGTGCTACCCGACTTTGAGCGAGATCGCTGGACCGCGCTTGCCGTCAACTTTATTCAAGCGCTACAGCTACCGCCATGGGGCGAGCGAGAAGCGGCGCCAGCAAAAGCAGCGTCTAGTGAACGGACGTCCGCGATATATTCGTCGTAGTCCCTCTGAAGAGGTGTTATGGCAATACTTGGTCTCTAGCATCCCCGGCTCCGAAATATATTCCGCAAGTTTACTGCTGGACGTATCCTTGACCTTCTCTGCCACTGCTGCCGCTATAGCGTCAGTACTTGATCGATACCGCTACGTCAATCCCTCGTTGCTCTACTATGGCGCTTGTCTGCTTACTTATGTTGTGTGGCTGGCCAACAGGTATCTTCACTGCCAATTTTATGACGTTTGGTTTACTCGCTCCCTGGAACGCGTGCGCTCCTCGGAAATCGGACTCTGACACAACAATGCATCTCTTAGTGCGCGGATTCACCGGGTTTCTTGTACACGCCCAGTCTGCTCTGCGATAAGTGCTCTCCGTGCTTCCTCCCGTTAGACTCGGAGCTCTCATCATCAGTGGGGGCGCACTCAGACGCCGCGCTTCTCGGAATCGGACTTCCTCCTCTCTCGCCGTCAACCAACCTTATCTCGAATATTTTGTAGGCTGGGACGACTCTCATGCTTTGCGTCTCGAGGTGTGTGCTACTATCACAGCGCCTCATGGTTTATGCACCTTCGCGATAATATGCAGAAGATGATCTGCGGGCTTGCACATTCCTCATGTGCGCTACATAACAACGACCTGACGAGCGTTATCGATGGATGACGCCGGAAGCGGGCCTCTTGCCCAGATTTATATGGCCATCTGTGGATTATATGTAACAAAGTCGTTTGACACGATCATTACGTGCTTTGCCCTTACTGGCTTCCATCGCCGCCCGGTAGCTTGTGGAATATTTGGAAGTTTGGGGGCGTTCGAGACCCGCTGCATGGGACGGAACAGGCGGGAAACGAACTCCTTGCTCATTTCGGTACTGCTGTGGAGTTCGGGTAACACCAAAGCGATCCAGTATGATTGAAGCGCCTGGACGAGAAGCCCGCAGTTTTGCCGTGCACAGTAAGCACCTGGAGAACGGAATCACCCAACGTGCTGCGCCGCGACAGAAAGTCTGGGAAGACGCAGTAATGGCCCGGGGCAAGCTTGTGCTGATGTCGCCCGCCCATACAAGGCAAGCTGTTCCGGTGGTGGGGGTTCGAGGCCTCGGGCGGAGGCGAGCGATACTAATCGCGGAACCTATCGGTACCTGTTCATGATGAGATTCGTCCGCGATGCGGGGATGGTGGGATGACAGGATGCTGCGTTGCGTCAGGGGGTGGGGAGAGCTGTATGCACCATGGCAACTGGACTAAATGAAGGGGAGTCCGGCGGGGATGGACGGGAAGAGAGGCTCCGCGCATTGCCTGGACGATGGGGGACGGTCCTACACGAGCGGCCCTCTGAGCGAGGACTGACGGCGGAAATACCCTTGAGGGACGACTTCTCCACCTGACATCTGGAGCTTCGCGGCAACGACCCGTGCGTATGGGTCCAGTGGGAGTTGGGCGTGTGCTGACACGGCCTGGTAGGACAAATGGCGGACTTGCCTTTTGCCAGGGCATTGTCAATTGGAGTCGACATCTGCGTGATATCTGTATCCCGAATAACACTAGAGTGCTCCGCTGCCGTCAGGGCGACATGAAAGTGCTCCTGCGGAGAGCCGTGGGGAGAAGAGCTGGAAGAGAGAGGATGCGCCGGCGAGCGCTGCGGGCCTCGTGTGCGCGAGTAGCAGTTTTGAATGGGTGCGGATGTTCGCCGCTGTGTCCGTGTGGAAGCTGAGCTCCTTACGGACAAGCTGTCGTGCTGGCTGGGTGCCAGCAGCTGCGTGGCCCAGGCGTGGGCAGGAGGGATGGAGAGGACGGCGGAGGCGATAAGAGAGCTGGCGGCGAGAGCGGGAGAGTTGCCATAACGAGCCAAGCGCACGCGGACATAACAGGGCCGATCTCCTTACGGGGAACTGTGGCCCAGCGGATGTCTGCCTCCCTCGCCCTTGTCTTCCCTCCGAGCCGATTCCTCGCCTGTCCAGATGCATCTCCCCGCCTGTCCTCCTCGTCCCCCTCTTCCTCCCCCCTCCGTCCTCCCCCCCTCCTTCGCCTGCTCTTTCCTACACGCAACTGCCACGTCGTCTGCACCGCCTGCCGTCGCCCGGTCTGTGCCACAGCTGTGCCCGTCATAGCGGTGCCTTTACATCCTCGTGCGCCTCCATCTGCTCCCGGATCATTCTCTTCCTCCCCGACCAGCGCAGCTTGACCAAACCCGCGTCAGAGCTACACGGCTTGACCGTGCCTCGCCCGGATTCTCTCCGGAGTCCACTCCCTCACCGCTTCTCGAATGGTACTTATCCTCCATTCTCACACTACTTTTGCCGCTTTAGAGCGCCGGAGCCTTTAACCGCCCGTGGATCCTCGCCAGTTTGGCTATAGTTCTATCGCCTCGAATTCGTGTACCTTCCTTCTCCTCCTGGTCCGTCCTCCTCGCCTCTCATGGCCCACCATCGCACGCAGCTCGCCGCCAGCACTTCCCGCCGCCGTTCTCTTTCAGACCCGCTCGCCGCCGCCCTGCTGCCACCCCCGAATGAGACCCCCGACCAACGCGAGCACAGGCTATTAGCCGAGGCCGAAGCCAAGAAACGGAGTGATAACATTGATCGCATGATTCGTGAGGGTGAAAAGGAACGGCGAAGGAAGAAGGTCATCAAAGTCCTCTTGCTCGGCCAGAGCGAGAGTGGCAAGAGCACGACTTTGAAGCGTGAGTTTCCCTGCTCCATTTGTATGCATCGCTTGGATGCGGTAGTAGAGTTTCGGCCAACCTCGCGACGGTGTCTATTGCTCCTTTTGCTCGGGATGTTTCTTCGGACGGATGAAGTGGTACACATCATGTTGTCCAATTTGTAAGTCTCGAAAGTTTCCTAGGACACCCGTTGTTGTATTTGTATAGGATCTCATTTCCTCATTCAATCACAGTGCCTCTCTAGACCGTGTGACGGGCGTTCGTTCTTCACTATGTACTCATAGAGCTGGTGCACGTTCTCTCGGAAAATTGCTATGTCTTCCATCACCCGCCTGTCTATCATATTCCGCCGTGGTCGCGCAAGGAATTTTTACGATGTGGTGGCTATGATTGTTGTCCCCATAAGTCTGTGTCGGTGCACAGCGATAATCTCTGAGTCGACTCATCGCCCCTCTGCAGATCACTGCCTTCATACTGTTTTCATAATTGCTCAGCCCGTGACACTCGTCGCTGATATTCTATTGAATAGAATTTCAGCTACTGCACACTCCGGCTGCGTTTCGCGCCGAGCGAATAGCATGGCGCTTCGTTATTTACCTCAATCTCGTTCGTTCAATTCGCCGGCAAGTTTCATCAGCTTTAGTTTACGCTTTTGCCGAGGCTGTTGCTGATGCACTATACACTATTTCCTTAGAATCCTGGAGGCTATCGCGCCCGAGACAGAAGCGCACAGCGGTCTCGACGAAATCGACGATCTCGATTCTAGCGAAGCTCCCACCATCATTATTGGGCGGCCCTCGTCATCGACCACTACTAACGGGCTGCCCGGGTACGAGAATTACCGCAGGTCCCTCGCGCCGCTCATGGAGCTCGAGCAGCGCCTCATCCAGCAACTCTCCGACCCCGAAGACAATGCCGAACACGAGGCCACTCATCTCCCTCTGTATCCTACTTACAGCACACACTCTCTGCCCGCTGCGCACGTAGGCACGAGCTCGAGCGCGCCCAGCCGCCCCGCCCCGCGGATCACGATCCCGTTGGGCGCGAACTCATCGCCGGCGTCACCCGTGACACTTTCACCGGGGAGTGAGCTCACGGTTCGTAACGGGTCAAACTGGAAGAAGACGTTAGGGCTCGCGAAGACGCCGAGCCCGAAGAGTGTGCACTCGGGCGAGCTGCCCGGCTGGTGGGAGGACCCACACGACCCAGTGCACCTCATCAACCGTTGTGCGCCGGCGATGACGGAGCTCTGGCGGGACACGCGCGTGCAGCAGCGGCTGGCGGAGCGGCGACTGCGCCTCGAGGAGAGCAGCGGGTTGTGAGTTGCCGCCTTCTTCGGAGTGTGTGTGATGCTCCTCGGTGGGCGGCGCTGACACGACTGCGTATGATCGGCAGCTATCTCGAGGACATTGACCGCGTCACGGCGAAGATGTACTTCCCAACGGACGGTGAGTCAGCTCCGCGCTCGTCGCGCTGGTGGTGATTGATGTACGGTGGTGGCAGAGGATGTGCTGAAGGCACGGTTGAAGACAACTGGTGTTGTCGAGCATACATTCAGCCTCCCGAGGAACGCCGAGTACCGTGGCGTCGAGTGGAAAATTTATGACGTGGGCGGCGCAAAACCGCAACGACAGGCTTGGGCACCGTATTTCGACGACGGTGAGCTTTTTAAGAAGAATCCGTTGGGTTCTAACTGCGAAGTGGACTCAATTGCCTATGATCAACACGCTGATACGTTTTTGGTAGTGGATGCGATAATTTTTCTTGCCCCCATCAGTGCTTTTGATCAGGTCTTGGCGGAGGTAACCCGGTTCATCTGTATGCGTTGGAATTGGCGACTGACTTTCATGTTCTTCATTACTAGGACCCAAGAGTCAACCGGCTGGAAGACACGATTTATCTATGGCAATCAGTCACCTCAAATAAACTTCTGGCGAATGTCAACATAATCTTATTTTTGAACAAATGTGATTTATTGAAGGTATGGAGTTCCTTTAGCTCTATGGTGCATAACATATACTTATTTCCCATTTCTTAGCGGAAGCTGCAGGCCGGCGTACGACTTAGCCATTATATGACATCGTATGAGGAGCGTTCAAACGATTACGACGCTATCGTAAACTGTCGGTGCCTTTCTCCATCAAGCTCGTACTCTGCTCATGGCGATACGGTAACAGATTTTCGTCGAAAGTTTGGCGTAATGCACAACTTGTATTCGCCTAACAAATCTAGGGAGTGCTTCAGTACGTTTTCTATCTCCCATCGTGCTTCAGTCTTGAATAGGCAGTGACATATCACCATCTATAGTCCACTTCACATCGGTGACAGATACCCGGCGCACGCATGTGATCATCAGCAACGGTATGTTTCTGCGCCCCACCGCTCTAGAAATCGGCTTACGACGGCATTCTGTGCAAGTGAGGGACATCATTCTCACGGGGAACTTGAAGTCATCGTCATTGATGTGATAGTTCCCTGTTTGATCTTGATATTCCAGGTGCGCGGTATTGAGTCCGCGCCATCTCCGCGAGAGACTTTGCAAGTTCTTGAGCTGTATCGTCGTGTAATCGGTGTCTTGTTTTGATTTGTTGCATTTTGCTTTCTGTTGTTCGTTGTGTATCGTTTACCCCATCTATTCCACTTTAAGTATACCTACATACCAGCACCTTGCATCTACGCATAGACCAAATAATGCACATTAATCACATCCATAGCAAGATTTAAGTGGTGGCCTGAGCACAGCATAGTGCTCAGTGGAGTACAAGCCTATCAATATCTTCCCACATAGTAGATGCAGTGTTTTCCTAGCAATGAAGGCAGCATGCGCCGGCTGTTTCAATTTTAATCAATTTTTTCAGTCTGCGCGCACAGTCGGAAACGCGTATCATGTGATGCATCGCGGAATCAAGATCATATGCCGTGTCGACGACTCGACGCTCGAATTGGTTCCGTCTGAGTCAAGTGGTTGGGGGCCATGCAAGCTGCTCTCCGCTGTGCAGCTCGTCTTCCCATCCTCAGTGCAGCACATTCAACCTCCCGATTGTTCTTAAGCACCGCAAAGCTCAACAGTCCTGTGCTAAGCCGCGCCATGTCCCTGTCGTTCGTCTCTACCCCTGGTGAGCCTTATGCAGCAGATACTATCTGATCAGACCGATTGGTGAGAGGTGGCTCACACTGGGATCGAAGATGCACCCGCCGCCGTCGGCCCATACAACCAGGCTGTGAAGGTCGGAAGTCTCCTCTTTTGCTCAGGCTCGCTGGGAATAGATCCCGCGACGGGGAAGCTAGTGCGAATTTTGCATGCGCGTAATGTGCTTGGATGTGCTGAAGCTCCATCAGACTCCCGGTGGTGTTGAGGCGCAGACGGAGCAAGCTCTCAAGAATATGAAGACGATCATTGAGGCGGGAGGAGGCGAAGTCAGTAAAGTGGTCAAGACCACAGTGTGTATTCTAAGGCTTCCTATTCCCGTGTCACAACTGATACAGTTATGGCCGAGATAGGTATTCCTTCAGTCTATGAATGACTTTGCTGTCATGAATGGAATCTACGCTCGATTTTTCGATGGACACAAGCCCGCACGTTCGGCTGTACAGGTCGCTCGACTGCCGTTGGATGGGTTGTTTGAAATTGAATGCATCGTAAGGTGTGTAGTTTGTTCTGCATTGTGTGAACCAATAATAACAAGATTTTCTGACCACAGTTTGGACTAAAGCGTAGAGGATTCGCCAGCATGTCCATATCCTCCCACTGTTGGTGGGGCGAGGCTCTGAGTATGTTCTCTTTGATCAGAGTCATGAGGAGCAGTCCATCATGGCCAATATAAAATCTCATGTACAATAACTATTTGTGAGATGTACATAAGATGAGACAATTATGCATTACCTACTGAGCCAAACAGACATTGTTGGCGTTGCCACACAAGCATCTGATTTTGTCGCGTCAGTGAGCGCTTAGCGCGGAGAACGGTAGGTCTAAGGTTAGGGTAAAGATCCAGACGCGACGCGCGTTCTGCGCGATCGGTGTGCGTAATCCATCCCGACCTGACTGAGACCACCACCCACTAGCGTTTAAATTGCTATCTTTCTGTTCGTGATAGAATGTTTTTGACTCGCTCAGAGTATGGTAAATCGTATTCTATGCCATGGTATCTCCCAGGGCTCTGAATTACGTCCGTCAACAGACCGAGGTGTAAACACTTTCTCTCCGGAAGGGCGGTTGTTCCAAGGTACGTACTTGATATTCTGGTTTCTCCTGCATAATTTAAATGCATATATGTGTATCTTAGTCGAGTATGCAATTGAAGCGATCAAGGTATGTCAATCTCCCTTCTCTATCAGGCTGGTTTCGACTGAGATCTGTTTGAACCCCCTAGCTTGGATCCACGACTGTAGGCGTGAAGACAAAAGAGGGTGTCGTCCTTGCGGTGGAGAAACGTGTCCAATCTCCTTTGCTCGAATCGTCCTCAATTGAGAAAATCATGGAAATTGACAGGCACCTCGGGTGTGCTATGTCCGGACTTACTGCCGATGCACGAACCATGATAGACCATGCCCGTGTCACGTCTCAAAACCACGCTTTTACGTACGATGAGCGCATCAAGGTGGAAAGTGTCACGCAGGCGGTCTGCGATTTGGCCCTGCGGTTTGGAGAGAGTGTACATGATGAGGATGCGATGATGAGTAGACCGTTTGGTGTTGCGCTCCTTATTGCCGGTATCGACGAGCTCGGGCCTCAACTGTAAGTGATCATTCCAGATATTGCCTAGGATGTTTGTACTCAAAGTATCGTGACAGATTTCACACCGACCCCTCCGGTACTTTTGTGCGTTATGAAGCGAAAGCGATCGGGTCTGGGTCAGAAGCAGCTCAGAGTGAACTCCAAGATAAGTGGCATACTGTGCGTGACCCTAGCTGGCTTAGCTTCCGCGAGCGATGCCCTGATTAATTTCCGGCGGTAGCAAATGACGCTTCATGAGGCTCAAATACTCGTACTGCGCGTTCTTAAGCAGGTGATGGAAGAAAAGCTGGACCACCACAATGTCCAGCTGGCACAAGTGCGTCAGATTTTATGTTTACATTGGCTACAAGCTGGGTCTTATCTGGCTTGTTACACTTCTTGCTCAACAGGTCACACCGGAAAGTGGATTCGAGATATTGGATGAGGTTAGACTAAAGGATATCGTCGATGCCATGTAACACCACGGACTACTACAATGATTTCAACTTGGGACCTTGCGACGATTGATCTGGGCTGGTGTGCGGGTGCAAACTAGATGTCCATGTGACTAGGTAGATGTTACATTCGCGCTTACGAAGTCAAGCATTTGCAAAGCTGAGGGTCTGTCGAGGTGACAGTCTCGTTAACTGACAGTTGACAGATGTATCTTCTAGGACTTGACTTTACTATTGCGGACTGGAGAATTGGCTAACGCGCCTATTTCATTGTCACGTTCAATTAGCAGCTCTGCCCTCGGTGAAGTTGCTCACACGGAGCCACGTTTCTCCTCTAGTGTCGTTCGGGGGTGTTCTCCCAGCGCACCGAGAAGGTGCGCATTCTATTGTCCCATTTCTCCATGCTGTGCTTGCATTTTCTCCGGCTTATGTCGAGTGACTGAACATGGATCCGTCGCGTCGCCGTCGGATTGACCTGGTGAACATACGCAGGCCATGTGACCAGAGGAAGAGTGTAAGTCCACTCGGTCGGTGCGCGGCAGAGAGTGTCCGTATCTAAGCTTTACGCCACGAGACCTTCCTACTGCGTCTGCTGCCCTAGGTACCCAGAGTCGTGATACTTCTTGCTCCCAGAGTACGTTACAGATTGCCACGCATCATGCGCTAGACTAAGCATGTTATCGAGGAAGCACTTCGGTTGTATTGAACCATGGGCGGCTCCTCACTGACGAGGATATAAGTCAGGGTGAGAGCAAGGATCCGGTCTTGTTTTGCTGTTGCGCTCGTAAAGTAGGATGGCTGTACCGACCAATCGTAGGGCGATTCTACTCGCCGCCTTCATTGCATTTGGTACGTATTTTTTCTCGTGAACCTACAACATTCCCCTCACGATGCTCAAAGGAGGTGAGTTTACCTACCACGAGTCAGAAATCATTATGGCTCATTAGGTGCGAAAGATTTAACAATATGGACGAGAATATTTGCTAACATTGTGTTGGTACGGCAGGGTGTACGAATCGACTTTAGGCTTTATTTTCGGCTATGATATGGGTGTCATCTCTGTATGCATCATTTTGAGCTGCAATATCCGCCCCTTTCTGAAGAAAACGTATAGGGATGTCTAATTATGCCCGACTTCGCGGCACGATTTGGACAAATGGGCACCGACGGTGTGCCATATCTTTCAAGTTCGCGCCAGTCGATCATCACCTCTCTGCTCGGAGCCGGGTGAGCTTGTCTCTTCCCCTCTCTTTCTCTATCTCCAGATCTGACTGGCCTTCTTTCATTTCCGCCTCGGCCATCAAGTACCATCGTCGGGGCGATCGCGCAGGCATTCACTTCCGACCGTTATGGGCGTCGAGGATCGGTCCTGATCTGGGCAGCGGTCTTCACGGTAGGCGTGGCGATCCAGACTGGGACTGTGCGCTCCCTCGCGCAGATCGTCTTCGGTCGTTTTGTATCGGGGCTTGGCGTGGGCGCGTTGTCCGGTGCGTTGTATGTTCTTGATCACAAGAAGCGTCTGACATTACTTCGTGCAGCCATTGTGCCGCTTTACAATGGCGAGACCGCGCCAAAGGCACTCCGAGGTGCTCTAATCGTGTTGTACCAAGTGAATATCTTCGGAGGGTGTGTATCCATAAGATTTGTACGATCCATGTCCATGTCCTCATGGCGGTTGCACCTTCAGCATCTTCATCAGCGATTGTATAGAGCTTGGCACACATAACATTAGCGGATCTGCGTCGTGGCGTATTCCCATCGGTCTGCAAATCTTGTGGGGTCTTTTTCTGCTTTCCGGAATCTTCTTTTTACCTGAGTCGCCGTGAGTATATATCTTCAAGCGCTTGTCTAGATTACTCATGCAGATTCTACTAACTGTTATCACACAGCCGACACTTGTTAGGTACTGGAAAGGAAGCCGAAGCTCAGAGAGTGGTGGCAGAATTAAATGGTGTCCCTGAAGACGACCCGCTTGTGCGCGATATCATCGAAGACTTGGAGTATGCTATCAAGGCAGAAAACGAGGGTGGGAAGGTCACTTGGTGGGAATGTTTCTCCACGAGAAATCACTTGTGGAAGCGAACGATCAATGGAATGATGCTGCAATTCATCCAACAACTCAACGGACAGAATTTCTACTGTGCGTATTCTCACTCCAATGCGGTTTCGTTGCTTATAGTTGTCGCATCCAGTCTACTACGGAGACACATTCTTTCAGGTAAAACTATAATTGCATGCTGGTGGCAATAATTATGCTGAGCCCCTGTATTGACTCCCAGAGTGCCGGAACCCAGTACGTTGATATTTAATTCTAACCTCAATTGACATCTCTTACTCTGACGGCAGACTGTCCCCTTATATTATCCAAACCATCCTTGGTGGAGTATCTGTCGCCGGTGTCATTCCAGCCTTGTACCTCATAGATGCCTGGGGTCGTCGCAGGGTAAGCAGCATCATGTATTTGTCTTCCCTAGTAGCTTATGCCTGAGTTCTTCCAGTCGCTGCTCGTGGGTGCATTGGCGCAAGCGGCTTGTGCAATTATCGCGGCGCTTGTAGGACACTACCTTCTTGCACCTGTCGGAACCCCAATAAATGAGCTGACTGTCCGAAACCGCCAAGGCGGCGATGTGCTCATTGCATTTGCTGTCATGCACGTCTTTGCGTTCGGTCTATTCTGGGGTGCGACGCCTTGGTGAGTAATGTGGTTGTTATCTTCCTCGCTTGGCCAATAACTCAACCCTCAATCATACAGGGTCTATCTGGGAGAGAGCTTCCCGCTGAGAGTGAGACCGAAATGCATTGCATTGGGAAGTGCTGCGAGTAAGTCTGCCTCCCTCTGTTGAATGTCGCAGCTCATCATCATGTCTATAGATTGGGTATGGAATTTCCTCCTGAGTTTCTTCTCGCCACGGATAGTTGCCAGTATTGGCCCCCTCATTCTCCTTATCTTCTTCGGCATGCTTGTCTTCGGATTCGTATACGTTTATCTCTTCATTCCGGAGACAGTAGGCTTAAGCTTGGAAGAGGTGCGTTGGCTGATCAATTTTACGCGTCAATTCTGATCTCTCTTTGCAGGTCGATGAAATGTATCGCTCCGGAGTAAAGCCCTGGAATTCCTGGGGTTGGCAGCCTCCACATGACCGAGTTCATCACGAGAAGGTAGCCTCGGCGGAGGTGGTAGACGTAAGAGAGAAGAGCGATAGTGATAGCAACAGCAAATGATCTGAATGAATCAACGTTCATAGAGATAATGGCCTGGTATATCATTATAGGCTCATAGCTTCAACTGTTGCAATGCATTAGCTATCTGGATTGTGTTTGTTCGGGCTCGAAGCAGAGCGGCATGATACTAATACTCACCCCATCCAGTTGGGGATGAATAGTGGCAAAAGGTACTCACGGACTGACTGACTTAATGCTCGGAGCTATGGTACATGATGGACGAGCCGTCAATGGCATTGTTGGTGATTGTGTCTAGCTCGTATATGGAATATAAGCAGTGCCGATTGATTGCTGATGACACAAAATGACTGGATATTTACATCACTGACTTGATACCTCTCGCGAGGAAGAAGTTCACATCCGTATCGTGTATCGTCGCAGAGAGCATGTATTCATACTCAGTGTTTACCAACCCAGCTCCCTCAAACGTAGCACGTATAGTGGCTTCGTCAAAACCAGCCTTGTGCGGAACGGCCTCCGCGTATGGCATCCTGGAGAGGACCTTGTAGTCGTCGCTTGCCATCATATCCGTGATCAACAGCGATCCGCCTGGCTTGAGGCAAGAAGACAACAGGCGGGTGGTGTTCTCGATAGAAGTCATGTGGTGATAGGCTGCCGAGCACTGTAACTCTCATGCATTACAAGCAGATGATCATGCAACATCCCGGACGTACCACTACGATGTCGAACTTGCGTCCATTGAGCTCGGTCTCGTTCCCCTCCTTAAGTTCAGCGCATATGGCGTGCATCTCGTCGGTCCCAAAGCCGTCCTGGGCCGCCCGAGCGTTGTAGCGGTCTACCATGGCATTGCTGATGTCGACCCCTAGAATCGACCTGACATGGGGAGCCAGTGCCTGTGAGAGGAGGCCTAAAATGCAGACATCGTTAGTTGAGTGAATCCCTCGGCGTCACATCCAGAACGCACCCGTTCCACAAGCGAAATCCAGCAAGTCCGTGCTGCTCGCGTCGAAGAGGGTTCCGTACTTTTGCATAATGGCAGCGCTCTGTCTCTTGTGCATGTCCAATACACCCGGAATGTCATCATACTGCTCTGCGGTCTTGTCAAAGCGAGCCTTGTTAGCGGCAGTAGCAGCATCGCCATGGTCATGTGAGTGTGCATGTGCATGGTGGTCCATGTTTACGGCAGTGGCTTGGAGGCGATGTCGAGATGGAACTGGGTGGTAAGTTAGGTCTTGCAAAAGACGAGGGATCTCAAGGGTCCTTTTTATATGGTCATGGCGGATCAAGAATCGCGGGAAATAACCCAGCCATGCAGCCTAGGGAACTGCGACGCACTCACCATCACCGGTACGGTTCTCAATGAACAAATGTGACTCACTATAGGGTAGTGCAAAAGGAGATTATGACAGCGGTTTGTCAGCCTCGGAACCTAAATTGTGCGTCTACATGACCTGCGGCCTATTAGAGTTTGAGCATGATTTCATGGCGGCGAGTATAAATAGATGCTAGTGAAGGCTTCAAGCACCTGCCGAACATCCAGGACCGAAATCAAATACTCTAGTCATCGTCAACGGGTACAACAGGCTAGAGAGGGGGAAGGCGACAGAAGAAACAACATCATATGCTAAGCAGCCAATAGCGACTTGTGAAGCCTAGCATTTATTGAATGCCCGTAAAGGACTGCGAGTATGCCCGCGCGCTGAAGAGCATGATAGTAAGAGGTCAATAACTTGTACTGTATGCACAAGGTACTGGCACCTTGAAGGTAGATATGTAGTCGGCCGTGCCTATGTAACGAAGTAGTGATGTGGCGGCCGCGCTGCAGCAATCTTCTTGACTTATCCTTCAGTGAGTAATCTCCGAGTCGTAAGTTTCGATCGCAAGTCGGATTGCTATGATAGTATGGGCATGCAAAAGTAGCCGCATGTCGACACGTCCAGTATGACAGCAAGCATGTTCAAGTCATCACGACCATAGGAGGTGGCGGTCTCGAGGTAAAGCTTGTACTAGGACGCAACTTGAAGGTCGACAGCCTTCACCGTGGCATTTCCCTCACTTGAGTCTGGTTTCGGCGCCGTTCATAGTATAGTAACGCGTTAGACCACTGCTTGCTTGCTCGTTACGTTGGCGGTGATTAACTCCTTTTTTATCTATATATAAATAAACAACCGTCTATTGGTAGGAACCCGTGGCACAGTGGTAGCGCGTGAGATTCCAGTATGTGGACATCCTCAAGGTCATCCGTTCGACCCGGGTCGGGTTCATGTTTTTTTCTTTCACCAATATGCAATTGATCAATCGTTAGGTGTTCGAAGTCACAATTATGTACGAGCACAACTACCGGAGACAAGTAATTCACTGGCACTACTGTAACGCGTGAGACATTGGTGGGATAGGCGGCCCGAGAGCGGGTGTTCCTAGGTAGCCAATAGTCCATTGCCTGCATGATGTGATGGTGTGGTATCTTCTTCGGATGTTCTCGAGCACCGCCTATGATCTCCCAACGGGCATGATACCCCTTGCGTAACTGTCTCTTTTCCGCTCTACTTACTGCAGTCCCTCTTGAGTTGCTCGTATACGTTACCGCTTTTATCTACTATAGGCCAGATCAACCATGCCTCGCGAAAACAGCTTCAGCGACTCTGATGGCCGCTCTCTTACGCCCGACCTGGAAGAGGTCATATTTCAAGAAGAGCAGCGCTCTTCGCCAAAGCCATCTGACGCTGGGCGTCCACAGTTTCCAGAGATCGACATAGCTTCTGCGCCAGCAGTATTGCTTCAAGGGACGACGCTCAAGTCTCCCGTCCGACCGGACATGGAGGATATCACTCGCTCAGCGTATACGACACCCGGTGACCGTTTTCGCGCAGCGGTACGCAAAGTGATCACCATGCACCGCACCACATCCTCGATGATGCTCCTGCGCTCAGGCATCGGTGCAGAGCCTGGCGTTGATCCCCGCCGCGCTTCCGCTAACCAGCGGTATGGAAATATCAAACAGCGCTGTGTGATTGAAGTCGTGGATTATTCGACGATGCGCACAAGTTTTGGGCGTATGACGAACCATGAATTTGTGGAGATGTTCCGCAACCCGGACGCAAGCAGGAGAGACCCTTGGGTGCGCGTGCGCTGGATCAATGTCGCGGGGATCAGCTGGGACGTGGTCAGCGCTCTGGCGCTGAAGTATGGTACGTCTGCTCAGAGCTTGATCGTCACGCCTGACGGGATTCTTACGATGGTGTACGATGCGCTCCCGTAGACATACATCCGCTCGCGCTGGAGGATGTCCTCAGCCAGCGCCGGCATTCGCGTTCCAAGGTAGACTATTACCCCCAACACCTCTTCCTACGGATTCTCTGTCATTCCCTTGCGGAGAACGATAAAGTGTCACCTATGGCTTCGTTGACGGATCTTCCGCGGTCAGAATCGCCAGAACCTTACGGAACTGACGATTCAGAGGATGAGTCAGATTCATTTGTGAGCTCGAGAAAACGCGAGCTGGCAGAAGCACTGGACGATGCTACTGAATACGGGAGCGCGAGTAGTTCGCGCTTCTCTACGAAGCGTGGATTATTGACCCATCGATTTAGCAGCGCACGGCGGAGGAAGGATGTCGAGAAGTATCCTCTACAGGACCGAATGCCCCAGGATGCGCGGTTCAGCGTCGCCATGAGCTCTGACGATAAGAGGGTTCGTCCTTATTACTAAAGGTCATGAGGACAAGCACTAACCAACACGTTCCAATCCTAACGGATTTATCTAGAGAATAGCTGCGAGGGACCTAAAATTGATCAAGGAGCTCAAGAAGGGCGACCGGGTCAATGTACAGATACATCCTGTGTGCATCTTCCTGTTCCGCGACGGTGCGTTTCAAATTTTGCGCAGGTCTTAATCATTATTGACGCGCGGGTGTGCGTAGGCACGGTCCTTTCCATTAATAGAGGTGTGGTCGGTCTCACTGTTCGTCTGATGTTCAACATCATAATTGCCATCTAGATACCAACATAGATTTTACCGCACCTATCACGCAACGTCTGCGTCAACGGCACACTGGTCTGAGGACAACCGCTGACCCTTCACTTCTTGTTCAAAGCCTTTTAGACCTGAGTGCGTGCATTTAATCCGTATCCAGGAACTATTTACTTACCTCATGGGGGACATGCGGATGTTTTCTGTCGTAAACAGTGGTTGATTCGGCTTTAGAAGTGGTGGAGGAGTATCAAGGCAAATTTTTGAAGATTGAGCAGGAAGTTCTGCTTAAACCCAGCATGAAAACAGTCCGACAACGTGGGTAGATGTGGCTGTTTAAACAATGACCTGTTTACTGCCGCTTTTTGCTATCTCAGTATGCTGACGAATCTAGCAAAATAGTGCACATTTTGCAAGGAGATCTTATTTTGCACAGGCGCACGCTAGAGCCGATTAAGACGGTCATCTACGGTCTGCGGCGATACGACGACGACCGTGCGGCCGCATTGTCCGAGAAAGTCAATACCAAGACGAGAATCGAGGGGTACATGAGCCACAAGGCCAAAATCTATCTCGTAGGCCGCCGCTTCTGTTCTGATGAATGGCTGTCATTAAGTATGATGAACGCGCCATCTAGGCGGATGTACATGACCACATGGACTGGATCCTTACAAGCCTGGACATGTTTGCCGGAGTGAGCGAGAATCTGATCAACTACACATTCAATGTCAGTGCCCTCTAGGACGGTCTGGTTCCGGTCCACGTACGTACATGCGCACTGATTTCGGGCTGCCCCCTTTCCCTTTAGATGGCGTCGTACGAGATGAACGAAGTGATGTACGTATATCTCTCCTGCGTCGTCTAGATCCAGGGCAAAAAGCTAATCGTCACGATGTTCGATCCACCCCAGGCGCCGACTCACACTGGCAACCATAATCTTCCTTCCGTTGACGCTCCTCACAGGGTATTTCGTACGTACTGAACTTTCTCCATGCCAAGAGCTTGGTGCCTTGTATTTGCGCCTTCTTATTTAGCTCCGCAGGGGATGAATTTCCAGAACATGTGGTCCGTAGGTCATGGCCACTCGGATGTTTTGTATGTCTCCTGCGTTCTATTGCGGTCTCGGTCCCCTATCTTCCGCAGATGTGATGTACGTTCCCCGCGAATTGGCACTAACTATATACGCCCTTGCGCAGGTTTTGGATAATCGCACTCCCCGTCATGACGGTTGTGATCCCCATGTTCATGTGGCCAGATCTCAAAAATATGGGACACTACCTTCGAAAGCGCTTCATCCAGGCAAGGATAAAAAAGGTATGTCTAATCATGAAAGCTCTAAGATACGACCAGCTCACCAATCATCGTCAACTGTTCAGAGTTCATATACCCGCAGACGCTAGGAAATACCGGACATGCATGCGAACTTCCAGCTCAGATTTTCTGGTGCACAACACAGCACATCTTCTCAGCATCTATGTCAGTATACTTAAGGGACTTCTATTACAGATTTTGGAAAAGGTGTTGTCAAGGCCTTCATCTTATGGATCACAACATCACCTTTGATACCTATATTCCCTCTGCTTACAGCAATGCCTGTACATTAATGGTAATGAAATAATTGAGATTAGGTTGTTTCTTCAGCATACAACGAAGCAGGGCTGAACAATGCTAAATATGTTGTACATTCCTACATGGGAGCACAAAGCAATACAAGGCGTCGTCAAATGTCTACCATAATGATTTCGTCGCATGGTCCAACACAATCGGATGGGGAACGTAGTCAGCACTGGAGACGAACGTTTCACATGCATGTCGTCTATGACGATTTAGAGGATGGGTTTCTCCAAGGGTGTGAAGACAAGCGTGCCTTTTGGAGGCTGTGTTACGGTGTTCAAAGGATCTGTTACCTCAAACCGCCCTTCCAGGAGGCTGGGAGTAGCTCTTCCAATGAGGCATAAGACGATGAGTTTGATTTCTGCAACGCACATTTCAGCCCCTATGACAAACGAAATAAAGGAACCTGCTGACCATTCACTGCAAGCACTCGTCCAGGACACGCGAATCTGCCGAGACCGAAGACGATATGGGCCGAGCCCGTCATAGCCGCATCTTTGCTCCGTTCCGCCCACTGGAATCCCCTGAACTCCGTGGACTCCACGCCGAAGACCTCAGGGTTCTCATGCACGGTGCATGACATCGGTGTGACAAATGAGCCTGGCAAATGCCAAAGAGCAGAGAAGTCAGCATAATGCGTCTCGTGGTGGGGTATTTCATAGGTAAGCTAAGCAGACCTTTGGGGATAATGTATTCGCCTAGCGGTGCATCACACGTCGTGTATCTCATTGTGGAGATGGTATCTCCCTTGAGGCGCATGACCTCGCGGACGAAGGAGTCTAGGAGGCGGGCTTCACGCAAAGATGCAGCGGTGAGACGGAGCGTGCCCGTCTCGTCCTCTTCACGAATTCGAAGCAGCTCTTCGCGAAGTGGTTCAAGATACTCCGGGCGGACGGCGAGCTGGAAGAGAACCCACTGAGATACCACGGTGCTGGAACGGAGAGGACCTAAGTACTCTCCACATTGCGATAAAGCGGAACGGATGCCTACGTGGTATGGACCGATGCGAAAATGAGGCTGAGGTCCCCAATCAGCGCCCGTAGCTCGCACCGAAATAGAACACTCACCATAATAATAAGATTGCAATATAAATGCGGCGAAAAATGCCGATTCTTCGTCCTTCTGACGGCTTGTACGTCTTGACGATGAGATACAAGACGTTTCTAGGCTACACGGGCCACAGTCCGACGATATGAGCACTCTAAGCGCTACAGGATGACTGCCTTACGCTTCTCACCTCGCTTTTCGGTAAAACGCCGGAGGTTGCCATAGCTTCATAACGGCTGACGTCTGCCCATATTTGGGGTCCCAACAACCGCAGGAAGCCAAAAGGGATCTTGATGAGGATCACATTGGCCCTGCACTGTGTCAGGGGACCTCTCCGTTCATTATAATTGTCCTTTAAGCTCACCATGTCAGGAACACCCATATCCAAGGCAGGTATTTGCCAATAAATGAAAGGTTCTGGAACTGTCCAGTAAGCTCGGCCATCCCATTTGAAACGTCCTCGATGATCTGCATGTTGCGCCTGCTCACATATTCCTGAGGCCATACATTGTTAGCCAACCAAGAATACGTTTTTAAAATATGGGCATACTTGACCGAGTAGTAGAATCAATGTCGTTTCGGCAATTGTATCTCTCGAGTGCTGGAAGGAGTCTAGCTGGCTCTTACTACCAAGGTCAGGTGCTTGTTTGACAAGGTCGATGAATGCCTTTCCATCACGGTCATAGATCGGGTAAACTTAACAGTCAGCTCAGGTGAGTGTAAGTACACAGTCAACGAGAGGGTTCCACCTACTACGGTGCACGATCTCATCTATACGAGCAATGATTCCCTCCCTGACAAAGTCATTGAGGTCACGAAACAGCGCCCCCCCGGTCAATGCCATGATCGGCTGCAAATTCATGATCTGGGATCATCGGTGAGTTTAATGGCAAAGCCGATCGACTTGGTAAAGCACTCACCGCCGCAGAACCTTGTTCAAAGCTGAATAAACGATCGCATGTGAGAACATGGCGGGCATACTCGGGCCCAACGATATATTCGAGCTAAGTACTGCGTCAATGAAGTGGGACGGTCAAAATCAGATGTCTTACATTGCCTTTGCGCTTCACTGCGATGACTGGTCCGTGCTCCTGCAGCGCAGCACCGTATGCTTCACGAGGTTTGGAAAATATATCCTCAGGCTACTAGACTATTAGATACCACGATCCAAGGTCCACGCTAAGGATTTATCTTACTGATATCGGGATTAGAGGAGGTAGATGCTTCTCGGATATCTGTGAGAGGGGGGTTCAACGCTTCAACATAACGAGCTTGGTACATGTAAAGAACCTTTGAGCGTCTCCTTAACCATGCGTAAAGCACAACGGAGATGGGGGCGATGAGGAGGTATGGGTGTTCCATTGCGAGTTATGTCAAGTTACAGACCGACTCCGGGCTATAAAAGCGAGCCCACGCTGACACGGATTGCCCTGTGAAATAGATCAAGAATTCGGGATTGCAATCTGTACAAGCGCTTCGAATAGCGTGGTGATCCCGAACGGCATATGCGTGTTAGCAACTTGAGAATACAACAGTTCTGTCGGAGAATCTGCAGATTTGCAAGATTAGGCAAGCAGGCTGCGTGCGCATTCTCCGCTAAACTTCTGATAATCGTAGTCGAATGTCCGCACCACCTATTACCTTACGCGACAGCATTTTGCCATGTCTATCTTTCATAGGCCCAGAGCCGACCAGAGGGTCGTTCAGGGTGCCGAAGGGCCGGGGACCCGGGGTGAAAAGCGGGCTGTTCGACTAGGACTGATACAGAGCATGTTGATCTGGCAGAGAGCTTGACCGGCGACCCATTAAGTTCAGAGGGGGGCACTTTACTGCGATTGACAGCACGAGGTTGGAGGCGAGGCCGCACGCAGACACCGCGGAGAGCGATTAAAATGAAGTTCGCGTCCGTGGGCGACTGGCAGTGGACGCGTCGCTCTGCGTCGCTGCAGGGAGATCACGGGACCCCGTCGCTGTCGGCGGCGGGCGCCCTCGGTTCTCACACCTTCCTCCATGAGTGCTACCATCTAGAATAGTTGCGTCTGAGATTCCTCGTTTATTTTCTCATGATTCAACTGGTGAGTCTGCAAATATAATAGGAAGGGCCGCATCGAACACTACCGCATGCAGTTGTCGTCAAATTACGAGAACACACATGGTGTGCCCTGGTCTGCAAGCCGGCGAGGATAAGGTCCGTCTCCGTCGACAAACCTATTTCTCCGTTACGATGCTAGTACGTCGGAGTGGATTCCCTACGTCCCCCGACCCGTGATTTTTCTATCCCCGTTCCTATATCAAGGAAGTGACCCTTAGAGCCCGTCGACCCTTGCTGATTCGCCAAGCTCAGGGCGTGTCCCTACGCTCTGGTCGTTTTGACGCACAGGCGTCTCTAACCAGATCAGACGCCCTATGTTTTATAGACGAGAGATCTCACCTTCTCTGAATTTTCACTTATATAGTCACTTCAGGAGACACTGTCCTTGCATCGGACTTCGGAATCGCCATGTCGTGCGATGGTCGGATTGCGATAGAAGCTAAGAATGCGCGCAGGGAATATCAAGAACTGATCCGCATTGCAGTTCTTGCATTCTCTTCGACTGCAGCTTTGGCGTCACAATATAACTATGTAATGCCTATGTAATGTTTTACACCGCCTCTGGGATTGGCATCGACAACTACATACTGTGAGGTTTAATTTCGTATCGATGCCGCTGCATACAAGATCATGTACGTATACACCACATGTTATACCCGTGTTTGGTGGGTGATTTCATCGCTTGTCGACGCGTGGGCACCTTGGATCGCGCTCAAGCCGAGTCTTGTATCGCCTGATGGGGCACCGCAGGATGGGTGGGCATACTACGCTCAGGCTCATGTGCGATCCTTCCATCAGCCGTGAAGTCGCGAACTTCGGAGATTTGAAAGGTGCAACAGGTATCGCCTTTCTCGACCCTATCTGCTTGAATAGTGACGTATAACACCGAAATGTCGCCCCTTCACAGGTCATCACTGTCTGGTGAGTCGTCTGCAGGGATGCCATTACGTGACCGCACCAGTCGGAGCGTGCTGCGTTCGGTGCACGCGATATACAGTACATGAACTATAAACTCCGATGAATATGACTTTCGCATGGCCGCGCATTGAGGTTCATGCCTGGCCGTCTCCCCCCAGGTGAGGTGCGGACAATGCTGCTTCTTGATGCGGTTGATAATACGCGTTTGCGAGGGGCCGCCTTCAGCCGATCCCATCGATCAATCCCATCGCCCAGTTCCTATCCCACGTAGAGGCGCCATGGGCTATTGTCAATTGTTAAGTCCGTTGGGCTAGCGAGCGAGCGGCTCGGTTACCACCTATCACTAGAGACCCACGCTCATGCGTGCGGCGTGTCTCTAGGTGGGTATTTTCCAATGCAATTGAATTGAATAGCTAGAAGTCAAAGTCGAGTAAGCGAAACGTCTACCGTGTCGCCTTCACTCCTGCCGTTTGTCAGCCACTTCACACAGTGGAATATTATCGGCCCTCGGTGCTCAAATTGGTCGCCCCGCCACCGTAAAGATGTCAGCTTTGTATAGGCACCTAGGCGTGCCTTGGGCTGCTGCAATGCGATTCGGTAAACCCCGCCATTGTCTTCACGCATCACGGTCCAGCCACGTTTCGGCGTCATGACAAACACCCTCACGTTAATGCGACTGCCGAGGCGTTGACAAGGCTGGCTGTTCTGTGATATCGACTAGTCCAGAGATGAGTTCCAGAAGAAATGCCGATAGCACGGGTTTGCAGGTGGTGATGTTCTGCTTGTCCGAAATTCTGGGCAGTTTGAGGTTTGAGAGCAGAGAAATCCGAGCTACGGTATGCGAGTAGATACAGCGGCACTGAGGCACTACAGTTACTGTACATCCAAGAAACGAGAGAAGTGGTATCACCAGTGAGAGTCAATAGTATATCCGCGGCATCATTCCGAACTCGCTTGCGACAGAATTCTTGCAGCAGATGAGGATATTGTCATGATCTCCGCGAATTCACGGGTAAACGCGACGGACCCCCCTGCTTCGGCCTTAATCTTGCACAGGTTGCGGAACGCAACACTGAACGGGAACTTCCCGTTTTGAATCGTGGTATAAGCGCAAGAAGCCAAAACTGTCTCCAGATGGTTGGGCGAGAACGAGAGTAGCGGAATACTCTCGGGATCCGGACCACGGGCAAAGTTAACGGCGAGATCTTCGTACGAGCGATCCTTGTCGGGTTTCGCTTTTTTCTTCCCAAACGAGCTGGACGATGATGCTCTAGTCAGCGACCGTGAGCCCACTGCGAGACGTTGGTACTGTCTAAAATGCTCGTTGATATGCTCCTGGATCAGAGCGACCTCATTGGAAATACTATTGTATTGATCCGCTGATGCACGCTGAGCGAGCATCTGGACCCTTTGAAATGGTTTCTCCAGGTCCGGATCGTTAGTCTTTGCGAGCTGGCTGCGAAGGCCATCGTAGAAAGAGAGGTGTCCGTTCTGAAGCGCCCTGCCCTCTTCCAGGAGTTTATCCAAGACAAAAGGCACAGTGCTTCTGCGCGACATCTTCCGCTTCAAGCCATCGAATGATCCGGTGGTATCCGTTGGTATCATGCAAAGGGGTCGCGCGTAATCATACGACTGTCTGTCGTTTTTCTGCACTCGATCTATTACTTTCAACCCGGTTTTGCGCGAGTCCAGAACCGTTGTGAACCTGGAGCAGGGATCGGGTAAGCAAATTGCAAACTTGGTAAAACCAGAGCGCTCTCGTACATGAATGCAAGACGCAGCGTCTCCAGGTGATCGTATCCAAGGGTGTAGGCCGTATTTTCATGAAAGATAGAATATGTTCCAACTGCTGCCTTAGACAAACCAGATAGCAGCACTTTCTGAAGCTCCGACTGCGCCGCAGCAGGCGGCAAACTCTTCAACCGATCCGAGAAGTCACAGACCCTCTCGATTGAACCTTCCGTCTCAAAGTTATTCTCTTTGAATCGGGGAGGCGGATCATTAATGGGGCCATTTCGGAACGGTTTGACCAAAGATGGCTCGTAAATACAGACCGCGACGTCTGGAGGCTCAATCAATCATTACAAAATTGAACAAGACAAAGTGAGCGCACCTCCATCAACATCTTAAGAAAATATGGTTCAGGAGTAGGTTAGAGACGAAGTAAAAGGCCACGCAAAAGACACCCACCGCCTCCTGCCAGAATATTTGCAAGCGAGCGTTTGCCTTTGGTAGGCAGTACAATCACGTTGACGTACTCCACAAGTTTGGGGTGAACGACAGCAATCACCTGGTCAAGCGAGGTTCTCAGCTGTAAGAAAAGCACCAGACGCGATATCTAACCTTCCGAACGTCCGAAGGTACTCTTGCTGGGTTTCGATAAAGCTAGTAGCAAATCAGATTGGACCCGGATACAATCCGGACAAACTTACTAGGACTTCGCCCGTAATCGCCATTGGCATGGGGTCCTCAAGAGGGTCCTTTAAATTCTGTGTCGCTATGAATTGGATTTGACCTTCTTCTAATACTCCGTATGGGTCTGAAATATTATATAATCAGCTAGAGCTTCATAGGCACCGGAAAAGATCATACCAGGCATGATGAAAGCCTCAGCAGAATTTTCTAAGACAATTCGATATTCCTTGATAAACTCTTCGATGCGTTTCTCAACGATCTGGCGGAGCTTTTCATACAGTATTGGGAGCTCCAGTGGATGGAATCCCGCCTGTAGCAGTTCTAGAACTGCGCCATGCACGGACTGGGGCTCACCGGGGAATATAAGATGCCCATCGTCACTCGGGTTAACGTTCAGATCATCTTCAGTATCTTCGCTCTGCCAATCATCGCGGTCCCTTGCCCGGCCAAGTCCGAGTACTCGAGCACCGACAGACACGCGGCGACGAAGCTGCGTCATCGTGACATGCCCGACGATGTTGACCGCGTTCCATAGAAGCGGCATAGAGTTGGGGCCTGCCCATGTCGTCAACGCGTCAATCTCCTTTTGCAACCCATCCTTCATAAGAGTGGTGAACACTTCATCTGGAACGCCGTTGTGCGAAAGGTTCATTATGGTATACATGGACAACCTCGACGGAGTCGTAATTCGCGGCGGCGCGACAAGGTCGAAGATTAGCTGGGCAGGGTGAAGTTGTCCGTACTTGATCTTCTCCTGAGACGGACGAATCCAGATCCGAGGCTTGTCGCGGGGATCCCTATCATGGGGATGTAAGGCCCACAAACCCTTCGAGCCCGCGAAACGACCTTGCACCACAGCTGGCCGCTCGGAGTAACCGAGGCGTCGTCCAATCAACGTCAACGCCGCGCCGTTCATATATCCACAGCCATCAGTGAATATATTCTCGGTCGGGGCCTTGCCGAGAGAGGAGTCAAACGGCGCAACTATAGAGTGATGAGGACAGAATATACTCCTCATCATGAATCATACCTATATCTTCAATGTAGAAGATGTCAACGTCAATACCACGCAAGCGTAATACCGGTACCGAGGTCGATAACCCGAGGTCAAATCGAGTTATCCACTTGGAAGTTGGCTGAGTACCGGCACATGATCAGGCACAGTCAAGTCACTTCAAGTTAAATGCCTCTAAGTGCACTCGCCTGATGACTATTCAACCCAAGCGGATTGTGCCACTCTATAAAATCGTCGACCGAGAGGCGCGTGTGGTCACCAAGCGCATCAGATGATTGCCGTTCGTAATCCTCTCTGATCTCCATCATATACACCTTACCATCTTTGGATCCAAACGGCGCAAACATCCTTCCACAGATCACGAACTTGTTCTCAAAGAACTTGCGCAGCCCACCTATCTTCGTCTCGCGCGTGAGTTCGTCCGGGATACTGACCTGTAACATGCGCCTTGATCCAAGGAACCGCGCGAAACGATTTGATTTGAGCTTCTGCATCTTCTCTAGAAGGATACCATAGCGGCCTTCCCCGAGATCAACGACGCGCCCGAGCTGCTGAATACGCCCACCATACCAATCAGGCTCTCCTCTCCATTCCCCTTGGAGGCCAAGCCCGCGCAGGGGATCGGCGCATAATGCATCCTGCTCCCGGTCAAGTTCAGCCCTGAACGAACAGGTTAACCCAGATAGAGATGAAAATGAGCACAAGACTCACCAGACAGAGAGGCCAGCCGAAGAAATATTGTTCTGCGCACGCGACAGAACAACTACAGGCACTTTGGGAGCAGCCTCGCAATTGGTGCCTCTCAAGTCTCTCAACTTGGTCTCAGTGATGTCAGCCCAATCCCAGTATCCGAGGCCAATACCACGAGCAATTTCATACTGCACACCCCATGCGATTTGTAGGGAGTCTATCAACTGTTGTACTTCGCCATTATGTGCAATGATGATCGGTTGAGCAGAATTTTGAGATCCATTAGCAAAGGTGCTCGATGGTGAAGCACCATCACTGCTTGTTGTTGCCGGCCTCATGGTAGTAGCTGGTGGTGGTGGTGGTGGTGGAGGATAAGTATGAACCACGTTGTTTCTCATTGTCATTGAAGTACTGTCCGTCAACATTGTCGAAGTGGAACGATCAATTCGTCTACGGCTATCCCCGACAGTGGCTATTGTATGGGCTACGGGGGATGGTGTCACATGTTTGGAGATGCACTTAGAGGTGGATGGAGAACATTGCAGAGGGGACTCGAGCAATTTCATTGGGACACCTGCATCGAAGACGTCATTGCTAGGTGAAGAGGGAGAAAATGAACTTGATGTCGAAATATGATACGTTGGCCGCGATAGGTCAATCGTCTTCTTCTTCCCCAATGGGGAAGATTGCGAGGATGTATTAGGAGACCAAGACCATGATCTTGAAGCGACTCTCGGAGTACTTGACAATGTCAAAAATGGTTCCCGTGCTGGCGGGGCCGAAATGTCCGGCGACGAAACGTCTGTATCTATAGCTACCTCTAGGTCAAACAGAGAAAATCAAGGTCATGAGGACACTTGCCGCTTTGATCTGCGTGGTTATAATGAATGTGAGCAGAACACTGTTTGGGGTACAACTTGACTCACATTCATCAATATCCATATCACTATCTTCCACCACTGTAGTGTTCATGATTTCCTTCTAATGATTCATGAAATAGTCTGTCGATGCACAGTAAATAATCTCACGCACCCGCGAATTGGAGACAGCAACAACCGGAGCGCGTGTCGACTGTCCCTGTGGGATCTTGAGCTTCATAAGTCGGGCCTTACTTTGTCCAGCTCTGGCGTGGTGTCCACTCTGGGCACGGACCTCTAAAAAACTCAGTGGCGTTGACAAGATTGCCACTGAACGGAGTGACTGAGACACGTACCGCTTCCCTTGCGTCCGGCCCTCACGATCGGGCCTCTACTCTGCGTACTAGAGCCGCATGTAGATGGGCCACCTGTAGTGCTACTTCCAAACATCTGTGTCACATGAAACATCGCTGGGTTATAGGACGCTTCCACTGTGGACAGTTTGTAAGTAGATCTACTCGAGCATACTCGTCTCATCCTCACCATCGCGCCAGAGTTCTTCTTCGGATTCATCCTGTATCTGAATCATCTCAGAGGCCTCTTCACAAATATGTGGATATACTCACCACTACGTGGGGCGCCATTGGTTTCCACTGGATAGAGTCTTGGACGTAGGATGGATGAAAGAGGAGATGGTTATCGTAGTCAATCGCGCATTAAGAACAGAAGTGGACAGCTCGGGGCAATGCTGCCACAGTGGCAAGGATCTTCTGCCGAAATCTGCCAGAATCGCACAGGCAGACCAGAACCGCGTCGTGGAAGCGCTCATCAATCGTGTTGAGCACGCGCCTGTGTGACAGGACGTTTGTCGAGTATTGATGAGATATGTACAAGGCAGGAATATGCTACCACATCCGACGCGAGGGAAGGATGTCTCGTAGATAGCTCTGCGGTCGACAGGAAGGAGGAAAGCGCAGGAAATATTGTCTTCCAAGAATCTTCAGTCGCGCCAAGTCACGTGTACCGCGTTTCAATTCGATGATGCGTTGGCAATGGCTGGCGTTTCGTTGGACACTCCTCCAGCTGCTTCAGGCCCGCCTGAGTCTCTACTCTCTCCGCTTGTTTGAGCTCAAACATCTCCTCCTGCCGCGGTGTACTGATTTTTCTCCGCCCTGCTCACAGCCTACGAATACCTGCCCACTATTGGAGGACATATAACAGATCTCTATTGTGACATCGCATTTACAGTGTACATATATCCCGACCTTGCGATAATCGATTGGACTCAATTTCCAACTTGAAGTGCCGACGCATGCGGTGCGGATCTACACTTGCATATAAGGGTATCATATATATCTAAGGGCGGCTTCCCGGGCCTTACATCGGTGATAAGATGCTGGGTTGTACTTGCTTATCCAGGACGTACATGCCCTGCGCGCGATGCTAACTTGAACAAGCTCTAGGCCAGTTGTGAATACAGCGGAAATGATGAAGATTCTCTCTACCCTGATATGGTGTCCTAGTGATGTTTTGGCCAGACCAGCACTTAAGTCATAGGGTACTGTGTCATGCTCAACCTTGATGTGAGTGTTCCCAGTCTCAAATGCTTTTGCGTGTTCAAATGCGTACACGTCATTGGTTGCAATTGGGAACAGGACTACATACAAGCAAGAATCGAAACCTATCTAGTGTTTATGGCGGCGGTTACATGTACTCTCGTATGCCGCTATGCGCATCCATTATGTCGTGTCAGGTGTCATTAAGTTAAGACAATCCTTTCTTTCCTGTAAATCTACTGTTGACTTACCTGTTGACATTAAGATAGCTACAGTACCTGACTGACTAGGTACGTCTAGTCGAGGACTCTACTTAGTACTTACCGGAAGGGTACCACATCTCGGGGCGCATCAACTTGATTACAGTAATTATCGACGCTCTGAATCTTCTGATAGAGATCGTCGTGAGTCCATCATACCGAGCTCGATCTCTATCGTGCCCTATTCTCGCCCCGGCAGCGATGTCGGTTTCTCCTGGTTTCTCGGGCGGACGTATCATGTTCGGAAAGGGCGCTGCTCCGATCAGCCTTCGTGAAATCGGTGAAAAATAAGCTTCTTGCATGCGAACCTCCTGAAGTCTTGCCCTCGCTGGAAGCTTTCAGCTATTGGATCACGGAGGTTGCGGTGCACCGCCATCACCGCTGAAGCGACTTGATAATTGAATTCAGAGTGCACATGCGCTAGAATGCAGGTTCAGCATCACCCATTGAGCTTACCTTGCTTGCAATGTCACGAAATGTACTGTATGCGACGTGCGTGTCCCGCCGCCAGACAGTCTGTTTTGATACCGCTTCAGAGACAGATTGGCGAGCAATCTCTGGAGGCTGGAGGCTGGAGGTGAGACCATAAAGTAGTATCGACGAACCGGGTCGTGTCTTACTCCTCTTCCCATCAGTTTCGATCATCGGTTTGATCACTACACGAATCACGACCCACCGCCCTGGACCACCATCTCGGCGTCGGGGTGATTGGCGAACGAGGGGGTCTTACATATACTTATTTACCCCCACCAACGTGACGCTCGCAGAGCCGGCACGCTCGCTCCCGCCCTCTCTCTGAGCCTGCCCCTGCTTCACACATTCTGGGACTTATGCCTGCGAGTTGATGGCAGCCCTCCCTGCAGATGAGGTCTCCTTGCTGCTATCAGAGCTCGAGGCCGCCGAGAAGACGAGGTATCTTGCAATCGCCGGCCTTGTGATTTACATGTATAACTATTTCTTGACGTTTGACCAAGAGGTAAGTGACACAGAATCCCCATTTGTGAACAAACTGAATGTCCTCCACAGATCGAACATTTCTGGTCCGGACCATGGTCGATCTCCAGGTTTCTCTTCTTACTTGTCAGCATTTCTCTCGCAATTTTGCTGTGCTTATCCTGACTTGTTGCGTTCAGAACCGGTACCTCCCACTTGTATCAATGACGTGAGCTCGTTCATTGCGTGTGGCTCATGGTGTGATGCTCACAATTCCTGTAGCATTGCTGTTTACTGTGAGCACCTTCTTGCTGCATACATCTATGATGTAGTTGAGTCCGCTCATATTTCACCAGGCCTTGTGGGACCTCCGCTGACTTATGAGGTATGGGTGTTTGTTATCTGTATTCCTTAAAGTAATATTCAACATATGCCTCGCAGTTGTACGATCTACTACATCTCTGAAGGCGTGTGGGCTCAGCTAACCGATACGTAGCTGCTCGAAAGCAGTCCCTGCTGCTTATATCCTGACATACATCTGCATCACAATCGTTCAAGGTATGCATCTCTACTGAGTCAAATAAGGTAAATACGCGTCGCTGACGATATCGCCCAGCCATCATCGTCCTACGCATATGGTATATTTATTCGATGCGGCGCGTCGCCCGCATCATGATCGTCGGCTGCTTTGTGATCTGCGCGACCGCTACCGCGATTACCATCAGCATCGTTTACAGCGACTTCCTCACCATTCCGCTCAAGCTCCCCGGCTTCCACACCCCCGGGTGTTCAGTCCCGCCCTCGGACAATATGTGGCGGGTGTTCTTGCCCAACATCATCCTGCATACCATCCTTTTCGCCGCTACAACCTGGCCCGCACTCCGCATGCATCGCTGTGGGAGGCAGTCACCGTTGATGAACCGTCTCGTCCGAGAGTACGTTTCTATTTCCTTACTAGATATGGACGCTCAGCTGGAGGCTATGACTTGTAGTGGCGGCGTCTTCTACTTCTTCCTGTTCGGTATGTCGGGCAAATGATCACATCGGCGGCTGGTATGTGCTCATGTGTGATTGAAAGGCGCTTCAGTGTTCTCCACGATCGGAGCGGCACAAACCAGAGACCCTGCCGTGCGCGCTTACGCTTCTTTCTCTCCCTCCCTGGTAGCTCACATTCGTGTTTCAGGTCATGTTCCCGGCCATCTATGCCAGGTAAGGGCCCCCCTTTTCTTCCCTTACGCACTCTTAATCCATGGCGCGCGCATTAGTTTCCTGCTCACGATCTCCACGATCTCCGCCGGGCGGTTGATGCTGAGCATCCGTTCACTCGCCGCGCAGCTCTCTGTCGACTCAGACCTGCTCCTCAGTGACGCGGAGCTCAGCCGCGTGCGGTGGAAGCGCGGCGCGCACGACGGCGAGATCATCGTTGAGATAGACGTCGGGGACGTCCCGCTTGACGAGTTTGGTAGTGGCCAGTACCCTGTCCTTCGCGCGTCGCGCGTTGGCGTGTTTGATGGCGCAGTCTACCCTGGCGCGGACAAGCTCCAAAAAACGCAGAAATTTTCCACGAGATCGGGAAAGAGGTCTCTGCCGCCCAGACTGTCGCTTAAACCTGGTGAGCATTCACACTGCCACTTTGAATCTTGTTGTAACCACAAGTAATTAGCTGTCTGACTAGCCAGCCTATAACGGGAGTTTATATCACCCTTCTTATACGACGGTTTGTACGCTATAGCTGTACTTCTACGCAAGTCGCCCCCAACATAATGCATGAATTTTGGCTCGTTTGAAGGACGGTTCAAGTATTTGCGTGATCTCACTGCCTGACAATACCTTAGTAAAGTGTCCAGTATTGAATATCGAGCCGGACTACGAGATGTTTCATTATAACATGTCACACAAAAGCGCGTAAAGTACACACAACCTCCAGATAAAGCAACATGAAAGGACATAATATAGATCGTCAATCACCAAAACGTCCGATGTGTGTAAGTGTCGAGTATACAGAATGAGTCGGTCGATCTATCGTCAGGTTTTGTCTTTCCATGACGACTACGGGACGAGCTGCCCGCCCATGCCATCCCCGCGTCTGGATGCTGAGACAGCACGCAAAATTACGGAAAAGAAGGCGAAAAACGTGAGAACCCTTTGACAATTGAAAGATTGAGCTTTAGCGCGCTGCCAACTTCGCTAGGAGTCATTACATACCATATGATCCATGCGAACGCTTCTAGCGCATTTAACTGACCACAGTACGTGAAATGATTCCTGCGACTGATGGTGAGAAGACAACACAGCAGGAGTAATAGATAACTAGCGTACCCGCAGTCAAGTCCACCGCCGAGTGCAGCTGTGATACTCGCCGCTCCAGCAAGCCATAGGACCCACGTTACAAAGAGGCTGTGAGCGAATATATGGCCTTTAGCTCCTATTCATTCGTGGAGGGGTACCATACTCACAAGATCAGATGGCTTAGAACGCTCGTGAACACGGAAGCGGACAGCCAGAAGAACCCGGCATAGAGAGAAGACAGCAGGATAGTCCAAGCGGAGCAGAATAGAAGAAAGCGTGTGCGATCGCGGACGGAGATGCTCATGAAGTTATGGTGCGAGTTAAACCGGGCGACAAGCCAGCCGGAAATGGCGAGCTGTGTACGCCATTAGGAGAGGAGATAATGCAGAGCGAATAATTAACCAACCTCTATGATGCTAAAGATGATCAAAAGCGTGAATACGACTGTCAGGGAGCCGGTTAGCTGTGCAACAGGGGGCGGTATGCGTTGGGCGACTGACCGGGATGACCCCTGCGGAAGTGGGTGTCAAGGTTGACTGGCATTGTAGCAATCTAGGGGTAATGTTGAGTGTGTCGTGGGCGGGCGAGGCGAGGTCGTGGGCAAAAGCGAGGGCGCGGTCGCGTTAGGGGGGTGGTGGTGGTGGTGGAGAGAGACAAGAGGCGGACTCAAGCCAAAGGGGGAGTCGAGTGGTCAGACTATCCGGGTGGAAATGGAATGCACGGCACCGCGCTCACAGCCGCGGGCGCGTGACGTCATCCGGTCTATTCGCAGTCGCGTCTCGTCGCAGAAGGCTCCGCAAGTTCGAGACTGCGCCGCGTCCCGGATTCAAGGCCGTCACGCAGACTCTGAGGATCGGTACTCAGACAACCGGCGTGACGGTCATGCATGCTCGGGCGATATGTCCAAGTCTTCATCGATTCACCATTGCCAATGCCGAGTGAGATTGAGTTGCATGCCCCGAGGGGCTGGCAAGTTCACCACACTTTTACTAGTTAAGAGATCTCTCTGGAGTTGCGACATAGCTGCGCCAAGAGCCGGGATCTCTTGCTTGTTACCTCTAGGTCTCGCCTACTCAACGCACTGCGGCTGCACAGCATGTACAAAGGGCGAGAGGATACAAGGTCTCCAGAAAATTTGGACGCCCGCGAAACGTTGAAAGCTGATGTTATACACGATGCAAGACGTCGGGATGCACGTCGTGCAAGTCAGAAACACAAAACACATAGTTATTAACTGTGACACAGTGTGCGGGTACACGACTGGTTCACTCCGGCCTATATCGACACATCCGAACCAATTCCAAATACCTAGACCTAATTACTTATGCGTGGGCAAACACACACCTTGCCCGGGCACTAGCCCATCGCAGTCCAGTCCCGGGTTTACGTCAAGGAGCTCGTCGAGCGTGCTATTGCGCGCCTGCGACAATTTCCAGCATGTATCACCCTTTTTTATGTGCGAGAGCTCGCTCTTGTCGGGGCATAGTACCGCGGGCTCACTGGGATAGTGAACCAGCCTGATGACCAACAAGAGGGCGACCACGATCAAAAGGAAGAACGGGAAGAGCATTTTGTATGCGCCGAGACCATTGCCGTGCGAGCGGCGCGGCGGTTGGTCCTGGAAGTGTGTCTAGCACATATAATGAAGTCGAGAAATGAAGGGACCCACTGGATCAACGGCTAATGACTGGTACCCGTCCGCACGACTTGGCGCGGCCTCCAGGTCGTCTTCATAGTCGTCGCTAACGACGATTGGTGCCTCCGAGACTATTTGACAGGAGCATGGTCAGTGAGGTTTATATGAGTACGCATCGCAGGTCAACATGGCCACCACGCGGTGATCACAGCCAGCGCATACTACTGCGCTTTTACGAACTAAGCCATGTAATGACCCCGGTCCAAGCCATCATGTGTATATTGCAGAGAATTGAGCAAGCTACGGTGGCATATCGCATGTTAGCCGGTGCGCCGCAACCGCAAGTCATCCACCTGGCTAAGACAGCATGGCATCGCTCGCTTGAAACCGGGAAGACGAGGGTCGGAACACAGAAACCATAATAAGCCGGTTTTCCACATTGCAAGTACTCCAGCACGAACATGCATCTTCCATAGGACAATATGCACTAGCACAACATCCAAAGAGACTGCCAATAGCGGATTTGACGGCTGGGTTGGCCATCGAACGATGAAATACAAATCCACAGTGCGTCGCTCACCTTGTTTCATCTCCCCAAACCGCGCGCCCTCCTCGCCCTCCCAGAGGGTTCCGTCCTGGTCGCGGAAGTAGTATTTCCCTGAGTCTGCATCGTATCCAACCCGCTTCATGCCCTCTGGCAGACGGTATTCATCCTACAGCAGAAAGGTCTCAGTGAGATTAACACTATGAGGGCCAAGAGCCAAATCACCTCGTCGTACTGTGTCCAACGACCCATGGCGGTTGCTGGAGAAGAAGCGGTAATGAGAGGAGTTTAACGGGAGCGGATGAGAAAGAATCGTTTTGAGGCTGCGCAGTGATTGAAGGAAGAGGCTGTGTGATATGGTCGTCAATTAGCCTACTCAAAGACTGGTGATGACAGTTGTGCTCGTGGTTGCGACGGCAAGCAGGGGCCTCGGCGAGCGTGACGGGCATGGCGTGCACACTTGGACCAGACCCACCACCGTCATCTTCTGGCAGAATCTGGCTCTCCAACAGCAGGAACGTAACCCGGCCCCAACGTGCCTCGCACATTTAAATATGCCTCCGTCCACAGCGTCTGTCCCGCACCTGTCTCTTTCCTTTCCTCTACGCCCTGTGCAGTGATGTCCACGCCTGCGACAAGGGCCCTGCGCGTCGCGCTCCACGGCGACACCATCCTCACTCACCCGCGCTTCAACAAGGGCACCGCCTTCCCCGCCCACGAGCGTAAGGCGTTTGGCCTTACTGGACGTCTTCCGTTCCGGGTCAATACTCTCGAGGAGCAGTGTCGGCGTGCATACGACCAGCTTTCCACTCGCGATACGCCTCTGCGCAAGAATACGTTCCTCCAGAGCTTGAAGGATCAGAACTGGACCCTGTACTATGGTCTTATTAGCCGGCACTTGAAGGAGCTCATCCCGATCATTTATACCCCGACGCAGGTGAGCTTCCTGAATATGGCTGAGGTGCATGTACTGACGTCGGAGGGTTGTAGGCTGATGCTATCGCGAACTACTCCCATCTGTTCCGGCGAAGTGAGGGGATGTTCCTGTCGTTCCCCAACCAAGACAATATGGAGGAGGACTTCTTGGAGCAGACGCGAGGACGGGACATCCAGTTATTCGTATGCTCCGATGCGGAGGCGATTCTTGGAATTGGTGATCAGGGCGTCGGGGTAAGCTTCCTTCGGCTTTCACCCATCGACTAGTTAACTCATTTAACACTCGCCGCCAGGGTATTGGTGTAAGTCTAAGTCCTAACGTATCTGTACAAGGCGCATATATTGACCAATCCTTCAGATTACCGTAGCAAAATCGGCCATCTACACGTGAGTCTTACCGAATGGGCAGGCAGAATAACTCCTGATCGCTTCCCCAGGCTGCTCGGCGGTATCGATCCATCAAAAGCCGTGAGTGTCACGTTGGACGTAGGCACAGACAACGAGGACCTGCTGAACGACGATCTATACGTTGTACGTGCGCGTTCTCATGACGGTGATCGTGCAACTCATGTCCTCATAGGGCTGGCCTAACGGGCGTGTACGAGGGAAAGCGTACGATAAGTTCATCGACAAGTTGCGTCGTGCCTTCCTCCAACCAGTATTTCTTCGCTAATTGATCTCTTAGATTTGTGCAGTTGGTCCGCAAGTACCACCCTCACAGTTTGCTACACTTTGAGGATTTTGGCGTGAACAATGCGAAACGCTTGTTGGACTACTATCGGGACCAGCACGCGGTATTCAACGACGACGTGTTCGTATTTGCATGTGTCGTTGAAATGATTGCTGAGCATATGTGCAGGCAGGGTACCGGTGCCGTTACGTTGTCGGCGTTGATGTCCGCTGTAGGTGTCACGAAGTCCCGGCTTCTTGACCAGCGTATTCTCGTCTATGGCGCGGGCACTGCTGGACTCGGCATCACCAAACAGCTCCGTGACGCCATAGTGCAGATCGACAACGTCTCCGAAGCTGAAGCAAACAAACGGTTCTGGCTGCACGATCGATACGGGCTCGTGAAACAATCACTCGGTATTAACAAGATCCGCGATGCACTACAGGAGTTCGTACGCCCGGATGACGAGTGGGAAGGCGTGCCGACGAACGAGAAGGGCGAGATTGGCCTGTTCGAGACTGTACGAAAGATCAAGCCAACGGTGCTCATCGGATGCTCAACACAGGGCGGTGCGTTTACGGAGAAGATTATAAGGGAGATGGCCCGCGGTGTCGACCGCCCGATTATCTTCCCCTTGTCAAACCCAAGCAGACTCGCGGAGGTCAACCCGAAGGACGCGAATGACTGGACGGACGGCAAGGCGCTGATGGCGAGCGGCAGTCCATTCCCGCCCTGCAAGCACCCTCACGGTGGCAAGGACTACATGTGAGTGGTAATGTGCATTACGATCCTAAGTTCATGCTGCTAATTGATTGAACCTAGTGTTGCTGAATGTAACAGTAAGTAACGTCGCGTCTATTCTCTTGCCCATAATCTAACATTGTGCAGATGCCCTCATCTACCCTGGCCTTGGCTATGGCGCGATGATCACCCAAGCTCGCTCCCTCAGCGACTCCATGATTATTGCCGGCGCACGCCGCCTGGCGTCGCTCTCTCCTGCACTGAAGGACCCGGACAGCGCGCTTCTTCCGGACTTTGCGGATGCACGGATGGTAAACACCGAGATTGCCATCGCGGTGGCGGAGCAGGCGATCGACGAAGGCCTTGCCGACATCCCCTGGAAGAGAGACGAGGTGCGCGACCATGTCATGGGCGGCATGTGGGAGCCTGTCTACCCTGAGCTCGTCTACGACAAGGATGGGCTGCATTGATTGTATGTTTGTGAGATGGTCCGTTGTCGAGTCTCAGGTAGATTTGGTGGTCTTAGATAGAATCTGCGATCATACTGTTTATTCTAGTCTGTATATCCACTTCGTGTGGAGCATTATTAATTCCAGTATTTATTTGCCAACCTTCTAGCTGAGAGATTAGAGTACAAAGATTGTCCATAATCAGTTTTGAACTCCCAATTAACTCGGATGTCCCATTGTTGTAGCTCGAACAGCTGCGGGAGGCGCAGAGTACAAGATAATAAGGCAAATTCTCCATGCGGTGGAAGCTGCTGCCATTCAGGACACTCTAATGCTATTATTGAGTCAAGCGTGACTGGAGGCTCTGCGTCGCCGGAGTGTGTTCGGGCCTCAGGTGAAGATGCCCGAGTGAGGTTGCGGGATTGCCCTTATTTGGAAGCGAGACTCGGATGGTACCGAGAGTCGCCTTTTATAGGATTGGCTGCTACCTTCGAGTCTCTCCAGTACTCGATTGTAACGCAAGTCGACCTCAGCCGTACTCGCTCTCCGATTTCGTTCCACTAACCTCGGCTAATGGCCGACCTCGCCGCACTACCAACTTCCCCCGACGCTATGCAGGGTGTGATCGCCGCCCCTGCGCCTGTGCCTGGGGCGATGGACTCAACACCTGCAGAACCGGCTCCCCCTGCCGAACCTGAACGCATTTCCGAGACCCTCTACATCCAAAACCTGAATGAAAAGATTAGGATCCCAGGTCGCTTTGTTCGTCTTGGCTATTGCTCCTTTGAATATTGACGCAGACGCCCGTAGTCCTGAAGGCCTCGTTGCGTGGTCTTTTCAAGTCTTACGGAGAGGTATTAGACGTAGTTGCACACAGCAACCTCCGTATGCGAGGTCAGGCTTTTGTATCTTTCGATTCGGCAGAGGCTGCAAAGAAAGCATTGAAGGAGGTTAGGGGATTCCCTCTTTATTCTAAGCCAATGGTGAGTGCCTCCACGCTGTACTTGTTAAATGCGCTCTAAGTAGCCCACAGCAAATTTCTTTCGCGCGGACACGCTCCGATGCAGTAGTGAAGAAGCTCGATTCAGTCCACTACGAGGAGCATAAGGCGCGCAGGATGGAGTACAAAAGTGAGTCGCATTGCCCATGCTGTAGAGATCAACGACGACATGATCCCTATTAGAGTCAACTCGGTACACGAATCCTCTGAAGAGAAAGTATCGTGCGAGAAAGATGGCTGCAGAAAGTAGGTTATATGCGTTATTACATATGGCCACACCGCTTATTGATTTTGTTTTAGTGGACGGCGCCGGGGCAGCACCGGTATCGAAGCGTCCGAATGTACAGATGCCCGACGAATACTTGCCTCCGAACAAGATTCTGTTCTTGCAGAATTTGCCGGAGAGCGTCAGCAAGGATCAACTTATGGCGCTGTTCTCACAGTACGTGCTACTTAAGTGTTCAGGGGGTTCGTGAGACTAAAGATTATGTAGGTATCCGAATCTGCACGAAGTTCGTCTTATTCCGACTAAGAAAGACATTGCATTCGTGGAGTATATGGACGAGGGCAGCGCTACCGTCGCGAAGGACGCTCTGCACAATTACAAATTGGACGGCGAGAACAAGATCAAGGTATCTGAATGGCGGTCAATCGTAGCCCCCCGACTGAATTGTTTTGTTGCAGATTACCTTCGCCAGAAAGTAGGAAACCTGATGGTAGCGCTTATTAATTGCTGTTCGGAAGCAAATTCTGTCCATATTTTCCCCCTCAATGGCTCGTCTTTACTTGAAGCTTGAAGGACAGGATCCGCTGCTAGTTGTAATTTCTCTCATTGTACCATAGGCTACCACAATGGTGGTATGTGCAATTTCATGACAAATAGGTAGTGATACTGGAGGCGTGAGTGTACGTTGCTGTGCGTGAACTTTGACTCTAGTCGCTTTGAGGCTACGATCTGATACAAATACCCTGCGGCAAAAGTGCGTACGACGGACGACGTATACTGCTGATTTGGAGAGTGATGTAATAGTGTAATTACACTATGCTGGTGGTCTGATGGTCAGGAAATCGGCGGCTGAGGTGCGTAGGATCGTCGTTCGAGTCAATGATGTTAATGTCACACATCATTCACAACTTTTCGTATACATTACAAAGCAGAATGAACTGCGGGTATGTTGATTGTTGCATACATAGAAATAGAAATCGAGTTGTAGGTCTTCAGCACATGTACACTATTTTCTTAATTTGACAGCATATGGTTCCTACTGCATTTCGGTTGTTCTGGTAACGGTCTGGACTGAAGCCGAGCCCATCAGTGTCATTGTTGAGTAGCAAAAGGCAAGGCCTAGTAACTTACTAACGCGGAATGGTACCAGGGGGGCCTGGCTGCTCACCGATGCTGTGGTTGCATCGGACTTTGTCGTATATAGGTGCCCTGCACCGGGCATCTGCATACCGTCGTATACCCCAACCCGACTTGAATACAATCCCGCACTGCAATGATTCAGGCTGTCCAGTGGATATTGATCTTCCTCGACCACGTCAACCTCTACTATCAATTCGCCCTCTCGTGCACCCTGTTTCCATCGTATACGGCTCAGTTCAGCGACACTGAGGAGCAAGTCGGGATCCATAGAGAGAGACGCGGCTAATGAGCGGATGCTCAGCATCAATCTAGATACGGACAATGATATCGTCGCTAGAAAGAAGCTAGCGAAGGGTCATGCAATTGAACAATAGCAGTGAATATGTTCTTACCCTGAAAAAAAAGCTGGTATCATTACCTGTACCGTGACGACGATTAGATGACAAAATGTGTTGGAACAGAATAATTTACCGGGTATGGTTCCGAAGGAAGCGAACCAATCGTCATGAAAAGTGAACTGGCTAATGATGCAATACGATATTAGACAAATCATATAGGATATCCAACCACCACACACCGAACACTAGTGCGTAAAAGGTACCCCCGCTGTGTAACTTCATCAATCAAGCGTAAATGAAAGAAAAGAAAAACTTACTCTCGGACAAGACGGTTTAGCAATGGAGATGATCTATTATGACGCCTCAATCGCAGAGCCGGCCAAGTAGTAGCAGCGAAAAATATAGTATGCGAAATTATATTGGGTATCAATACCTGCCAACTTCTTCTCGGCGGATAAATCATGCAGCCGTATGCTGAAAGGGGATTAGCCTGGGCTAAAAGTAGCTGTGGACAAATGCTTCCAGACAATGCGACGCCAGATGACATCGCAATGGCGCAAGCGCCTACGATTAAGAATCTTGTAGTGGTAGTCATAGAGAAGATATACCAAATTCTGACAACGATTATTGCTTTGAAGTGTTGTCAGGCAAGGAATATGGCGTGTGACGACGACAGCAATACCTTGAACGACAGTGATTCCAGATACTTGCAGGACAAAAATGATGGTAACACCCAAGGAGCAACTAGGAAGCGAATGGACAAGGTTTTTGAAGGAGTGGATCTTAGATGCTTACAACTATCTTGGTTTCAGGCATAGACACTGAGACTTATACGTCTAGACTTACTTCATCTGAGAGATTGGGTACAACGAGATCTGCAGTTCAGTTTTTGAGACACCTTTTATCCATATCATGCATAATTTAACTCACATGCGACACCTAGCCTGTGAATAGCAAACGTTTGAACGTATGAGGATAGCAGAAGTGGGGAGGGACCTACACGATTACTATAGGTGTTAGGTATCGATTCTGGAAGTTGCCGCGTTCAATGTCAATGGGATGTCATATATAACCAAAGTACTGACAATCATGAACAAGATACGTGACAGAGACCAGGGACCTGACCAAAAATATTCCACCTATTAAACATACTGGTCAGGAAGCACAGCAGAGATAGGACGAAGGGGGACTAGTACTGACTTCCAGTTCTAGGTTCGATATATACTCGCATAATACAAGCACAAAACTGCTAAGGGCAAGATACCTAGCATTTTGGATGCTAGTAAGTATTGGTTCGATTTCTTGGAGGTTGAACTGAGTGTCCATATAGACGAGCCTAGGGAACGAGTGCCCGGTGAGTGAACAAAAAATGGAGGAGCTAAGAGTAAGAATACAAGAAAACTTCATCCGCATCATATAGTACACTCTCAGCGAATGATCACCCCTGAGCTGTGCAGTTAAGTTTGGAGCTAGAACAAGTATATGCACAGTGCAAGTTGATGAGCATCAAATCTCGAAGAGTGGATAGCACCGGATCTCAATACATTTGATCCAACAAACTCGAACCCTTAGGTGTGACATGGAACATACTGATATCTCGCCAGGAAGATATCCCCTGACCTTGCATCACGATACCATTGCATTATGATAAAATATCAGTTAAACCTCGATTTTCTGCAGTCTCAACGCCGAAGATATCACAGTCAGGCAGACACCAAAAACATCATGCTGTAGTCCATCAAAAACGTAAGTGAACGCATGCACCATGTCATGGTTTCACGCTTCATCGAACTGCATTTTTCAGAGAGAGAGCTTGAATACTATCTATAAAGCCTGTTCTGGTAATTCAATACGGCTGAGATGCGATACGTGGAACAAACGACTCAAGTGTTCGTCCTCTCAACTTGTCACAATGGCAATCACCAGACGGTCATGGGCAGCATGAGATTTCAAGGATAATGACACATACCTCGATTCAATATGTCCATTATCTCTGATAACGGCCGCAATACACTTGGACGAGGTGTATTCTGCCAGATACGTCAAAGGAAAGATGTTGATGATACTTTGAGTCTGAATGAAAGCAATCAGAAAGACAAATGGTCCACACAGATATGCCAGGGGGTGACAGATGGGAGTGGGCTACGTCTTGGTCGCTAGCTATCTGGAATGTTAAGGAACCCCATGCAGTACTGATGACATTAGTCCAATATAGGAGTGCGTGTCAATACCATCGTTATACTGTCAACAGTTATCATACTACTGCTCACCCTGGTATATAACAATACCTCACCTTTTTGCGAGTGCCTGTACTATGTATGACTCGAGCACGCGGAAGATATACGAGTTATAGCCAGACTGGGTTAGATTATTGAATACACATCACCGTGATAGCATCCCCGCAGTCTCGGACAGGTCCACAATCATACACTTGATGTTGATTTGATATGCAATTATAATCTGAACTCCAAGTCGCGACGAATAAATCTCGAAGTCGGACTTCACCTGTGCGGCGGTGATTGCCCGGGGTACTTAAGGCTCGATAACCGACTTGCCAGTGTCAGCAATACACTCTTGCGCAGACATACAGCTGCTTACCAAGTGATATGACCCAGATTGAAACATATTGACGCAAAAATCAGAGAAGTGGAATGCATAATAAAACATGACGGGCCTCGGAAAATAGTGACGCGGTCGGTCAGTTAACAACGGTCAGCAGGACCATGGTTCCGTAGAGTTGATATATGTAATGGCTATAAGTAATGTGCAGTGTGCCGACGTAAGATAGTGAGATAACTTAGCACCCGGTGCCAGTGGCCGCCGACCACACGGCATAGATAAGCCCGTCACGGTGTACATGGTCTCCGATATCAAGTTGTATCAGGCCGGTCGGATCCTATCGCTCGAGCTGATGCGATATGTCAAAACTCATGCTATTAGCAGATGCTAGCGCATATTCGGTCTCCATTTCATGTCAAGAGTAACTACAATGTGAAACCACTGCGAGAAATGCCCAAAGGTCGAGCGCCGAACATAAGGAAAACAACGGTCGCCGGAGACAGCGTTTCCTGATTATGTTCGGAGCCCGAACATGTTTGTCGGACATTGCGGTAACATCCGTCGAATATGGGTGTTCAGCCAATCAACAGCTGCCGATCACCCATGTTTGGCAGTTGGACACTCCTAATGTTTAAGCTCCGAACACAGTGAATACTTGCTGTCTCCTGTGAGCTGTGTTCAACATGTGTTTGCTACTCGACATTGCCCACAGTGAATGGCGAACACCGGGGGTAGTGTTCAGGGACCTGACAACTGAGGATTGTTGAACGAATAGTGAATGCACCTACAAGTTCTATGTACAGAACTGCTACAAACAGTTCATAGACACTGTTACAGTGTGAGAGGGGGATTCTTTTTCTTTCCCTAACTATTTGTCATTGATCCTGTAACTGTACAACTGATCTCATCATTGATGTGTTTCATCTATATCAGTGTTTTATATCTATCATGTTTCACCCTATATCATGTTTCATCTTTATCAAACATTTCACCTTCATCACTGATACAACCGAGTGAAACCTGTTTCATATACATCACTGATCCAACTCAGTG